TTGTCATGCTTACCAAACCTATCATTATTAATTTAAATGCCTCGTTTTTCCGTTGTCGGACTTCTGAGGCGTCGGACCAATGAGGCGGAATAAATAAATTTTATGCCTCATAAGTCCGAAATTTCGGACTTATGAGGCGTCGGACCTATGAGGCGTCGGACTTATGATACGGCCCCGTTACTTCGCCTCAACCCCGCAACGCATAAGGCCTATTTCAAAATCGTATAATGAGGCCGTATGTCTGACGTCACCAATTTGTATAGAACGCAAATGGCGTGACTTTATGCAATCAAGCCATTATACGAATTTCAATCGTGCACGATCGGTCAATCGTTGACGTACTTTTGTCCTATAGGTCCACGATTGCCGGTGTTAAAGGTGTTAACAAGGTCAGATACTGCCACATTAGTTGTTAAATTAAAAGTTCATGAGTGAAGTTTAATATTAAATGTTTCCTATATAAAAGCACAATAATGACATTTGAAAACCAAAATAAATTACTTTATTATACTAAAAAAGGGAGAAAATATGACTATGAAGCCAAAATATGGTCTATAATTTCATATACCGTGCACTGAAAGCTTCTATTCTTTTGGAACTAAGCAGGTTATTTCATTTACTTTCGTTCAAACCAAAGCAACTGTGTACCCACCTTTGCTTGATATTGTATGAATTGATTATGATCACCCCGGGCTTGTTACAAACAGCTACAAAGCACCTCTTTTCACAGTCTTGCATTGACAGGCCAGTTCCTTCAGTTCTGCGTTCAAATTGAGACACAAATCCTCCAATGCTCATCAAAAAAAGGTCCAGTTTCACAAATGGCTACGTTGTCGATAGGTGCCAGTACGGGTAGTTAAGACTCTGGCTCTACTGTGCGAATTGTGAAATGATCGCGCGATACTAGAAAAATCACCAGATGTCTGATGGAACTATTTTCCCCCGATTGGGTGTGTCTAGTTAATATATAATTTCAATGGGTAAATTATAAAGCCGTCCACAAATCCAATTCGTGAACAGTGCACTAAATACAATTCACACAGGAGATTTAAATACATACGCTACCGTTTAAGTGTTTTCTTGCCTTTGGTTTATTGCAGAAGGAATTTAAGTATATTCGCACTTCTCTAGGACTACATAGGGCCTAATCTAGATCTCCAATAGTTCGCAAATCCTACTGCGTATTGCATAAATGAGGTTTGGCTGTTGTCATGCTTACCAAACCTATCATTATTAATTTATTATTAATAGGTAAACTTAAGGGGACAGCTTCAGAGATGTAAAATTGTTGAACAAATAAAAAACAAACTTCAGCATTTTTTTAAAATATTTTTTTCCTCAGTTTTTGTCTCCTTTAGTAGGTTCCTTCATTGAAATAGGTTACGCGTATGATATTGGCTGTTGTTTATGCTTATATCAAACCTATCATTATTGCGAGTTAATTATTAAAAGGCCCATGTAATTGACATTTTATGCAAGCCTTGAACATTTGCTCTCTCATAGAATCTTTGTTGATTTTTGGTCTGTGTGTGTGTTGGGAGAGGGGGGTCACTACACATTATTGCTCGGACGATTCCAAGACTTGAAGGGGGAGGGGTCGTGTGTTGATTATAGCAGCCAAGTTTGACGCACGAAATTGACGCCTCGTTTACTTGCGATTAAAAATCTGGCGAAGACCGGGTTAATTTTTTTTCTTTCTGATCCATGGCTCTGAAGGACATTTTCAAATTGAAGTACATACAGAGAACCATTCTCGGTTAACAAATACCAATGGCCAAAATATAGAGGGTCCTAAAAGTAACTCATGCCGTTTCATGAGCATTGTAAAGATTGGTTTAAGTTTAAGTGTAAAATTAATTGACTGCAATACGTTCACATGTTGTATCATTCTCTATACATTGTTAATTGTGCTCAGATCGATGCACTTGCATTATTATGACCACCTGCGCCCAATTTCTTGGAGTTGCGATAAAGCGGAAAATACAATTTCTTTTTGCTAATTGCTAACTTGTTTTTCTTTGCTCAAACATTTATATTCTGCCTATTATATAGTTGTTTAAACTTTAATATTAGTATTCGTCACATTTTAAGCTAGGGGTTTGAATTGAAAAGTACTTGAAGTTTGAATAAAATTGCCCAATTTTGATGAAAATAGCAAGGCTTACCCCTTATACTCATTATTTTCGAAAAAGGTCAAATTTGCCCAATTTTGATGAAAATGCAAGGCTAACCCCTTATATTCTTTATTTCCAAAAAAGGAGAAATTTTGCCCAATTTTGATGAAAATGCAAGGCTAACCCCTTCTATTTTTGATTTCCAAAATAGGACGATTTTTTGATGAAAATGCAAGGCTAACTCCTGATATTTTTTGATTTCCAAAAAGGGACAAATTTTGCCCAATTTTGATGAAAATGCAAGGCTAACCCCTTCTATTTTTGATTTCCAAAATAGGACGATTTTTTGATGAAAATGCACGGCTTACCCCTTATATTTTTTATTTTTTAAAAAGGTCAAATTATGAGTCTTAATTTCCAAAAATACCTGCTGTATTAGTATTGAAATTTCTGCCTAGTGGTCAGGATTAGCACAACTTATGACGTATTAAGACAAGTGTTGTCATCACCGTCAATTATTTTTGTCATCACGGAGAAAAACCAGCCTAAATGAAGTCCCAATCTACATAATAGTCTTCATGATTATTGAACACGCAGAACATAAACGTTGCTTGATCAATAACTTATTCGATATCTGTCGTACACGATTGAAATTCCGCCTAGTGACTGGTCAAGATTAGTAACGCAAGCCTTAGGCCTATGAAGAATTAAGGCTATGAAGGATCAAGTTCATGGCACGCTATAAATTGATTTTTATTTACCAAAGTTTCCGCCTCCGTCAATGCCCATGGTTACCATGGTGTGCTGCGCCGTCGCCACATACACAGGACCAAGGCGCAGCAGACATGCTTTTAAGACTAAGTGAAGCAAACAACAGTACCTGGCAGAGCGAGTTCAACTGAATGTTTCTTTTTGTCACGCAGATATTTCAAAGTAATAGCAACAAGCATGTACAAGCTTGCAAATACATGTACATGCACAATTTTGCCGCAACGCAGCTTGCAAGTACATGCTCAAGCTTGCAAGTATATGCTCAAGCTTGCAAGTACATGCTCAAGCTTGCAAGTACATGCACATGCTTGCAAGTACATGCTCAAGCTTGCAAGTACATGCAACATGCTTGCAAGTACATGCTCAAGCTTGCAAGTACATGCTCAAGCTTGCAAGTACATGCTCAAGCTTGCAAGTACATGCTCAAGCTTGCAAGTACATGCTCAAGCTTGCAAGTACATGCTCAAGCTTGCAAGTACATGCTCAAGCTTGCAAGTACATGCGCATGCTTGCAGGTACATGCGCAAGCTTGCAGGTACATGCGCAAGCTTGCAAGTACATGCACAAGCTTGCAAGTACATGCGCAAGCTTGCTGCAAGCGTACATTATATAATTTTGTGCAAGCTTGCCTCACATCTGTGCAAGCATTTCTAGCTTGCAAATGCGCAATGTGATGCAAGCTTGCGGCAAGCTTCAAATCTAGTTACCAGCTTAATACAAGCTTGCTTTTCCGTAAGGGAATAGACCTCTATCAGGCTGCCACCATTTCAGTCATGTTCCCTGTATCTAATAACAATACTGAATAATATTTTTTTTTGTGCAAAAAGGAAACAGACTATTTTTTCTCCAGCCTCGCTTTGGTAACGTTGATTTAAATGGGAAAAAAATAAAGATGGCCACAACACAAAATGATATATAGCCTGTGTACTTGAGAAATGGAAATTTTCACACAATCTTGTAAATAAAATGTCTGCTGTTACACTCGGAAAAGAAACCGCTCCAACTTATAACGTCAACGTTTTTAGAGAAACAATAACACGCTTTTCATTTTAATATTCTCTGTTTATAAGAAAACTTCAACTCCCAAATATAAAAATTTACATAAATCACAAGCATCTGCAGTTAGACTGCGTTTTTAAATCCTTTCTACAGTACACAACTACAAATACATAGTTCTTTCAATCTTCAAAAGAACACTCAAAATCTCAAAATGAATTGCCCGCACATCATTGAAACATGATGTGTGAAGAAACAGTTGTTCCGTCTTTCCATTATCAAACATGATACAAATCATTAAACTTGTTCGGGTGGGCAAATCGAAACAATAAAATATTCCAAAAATTGAAGAGTTTATTTCCAAACAGCGATATATCCATTTGAAAAAAAGTGCACAATTTGCAGAGTTATAAAACTTTAAAGAATAACAGCAATGTCGCAGCGGTGTCTTAATTTTTTCTTCGCGAAAAACTTTACATTTCGCAATATTGTATTCTCAAATTGTGTTTACCTCAATAGCCATTGAGACTTACTTCGGGCAGCCATGAGAGTAGTCTATGTAAAAGACCGTGGCGAAAACCACGGTACATATGAACAGATTCGTCGATTAATTAGGCAAAACAACCGCATCTTGACCTCTGGATTGTGACCAATCAGCGGGCGCTTTCTATGTCATTCACCCGATAAAAAAACCCTGTGTCACGGGCTCTGTATCATGTTACGTGATAAGCGCCTGGCTGTTATTACAAAATACTGCATTTGAATTGACCAATCAAACCATTAGTCCTGATTTGGGAATGAAATGACATTAGGATTTAGTAAAGTCGACTCCGATTGGCTGAGGCGCGAGATCGCATAAATCTGCATGCTTTGTCATATCAGACGTTATACAGGAGACTTGGCTCTGTGGGTAACGGGTGATACTCAGACTACCACGAGAGAGCAGGATTCTGAAAGGTAACAAAATGGCGGTTATGGCATTTTGGAAATAAAGACTTCAATTATTGAAAGTCGGTAACAAAGATCGCATCCATTCGCATTCACGTGATATTGTGCCACGGTGTCATCATAAAATTCTAACATTTATTGAAAATATTCATCAAGTAATTTAGATTTTCACTTATCCCCTCTGCCATGAGTTGGTAGTGGTGAGAGAAATCAGAGATTTCAAAATCCGGTTATCCTAACTTTTTTCAAACTGAATAACGGTTATCTGATTTCACTGGAAGTTCTCATCCAGCTCACAGTCATGTCAACAAAAAGTGACGAGTGAGGTGCCACATGCAATGTCCTCCCAATGACTGGGTATAGTTTGCAGGATTCAATGCCCACTGGGCCTTTACAAAAACACTCCAGAGCTGTACAAATGTAAAAAAAAAATAGATGGGAATTCTATGATAAGTTGATTGGACAGGCTATTCATATACCAAGAAGACCACTAGCAAGTGAATGCAGTTACAATCAGAGACCATGGAGCAAATTGTTGAATGTTCCAGTTGTTTCTCCAGCCTGTGACAAACAATTAGTAGACTTTTATTAGGAAATTATTCAAGGGGTCTACCCGATGTTCCCCAATACCTGTGTTCCCCAATACCAATGTTCCCCGAAATCTTTAGGATTAGGGTTAGGGTTGGGGAACATCGGGTAGACCCCAATTCAAACCAGATTTAAATTTTTTTAAAAACCCAGATTTAAATCCTAGCACTATTTATAGCTGGCATGATTCAATTTCTTTTGAGTTTCCATTGGATATATCTTAACACACGACCCGGTGTAATGTGAAATTTGGAATCTATGAAATATGGCCTTGTTGGTTGTATTACGCATACATGTCTTTGCGTGAACATAATAACAGTGATAGCCCACTTGTGAGGGTGAGCATCCACATGAGGTAACAGAGACCAGATTTCATGAGAGTCCAGATTTCATAAGAGTCAAGATTTCATATGACACCAAATTTCATATGACACCAAATTTCATATGACACCAGATTTCATGCGACATCAAATTTCACATGTGTGCGTACTGAATTGAGTGGCGTAATTGTTACATATAAAGATGAGCACCAAAATAATTTCCCAGCATCATAACAAGCACTAATTGTGACTACCGTATTAGTCTGCTTAATTAACTCTTTGCTTTTTCTTTCATAATATTTTTTTTTAAAAGAAGTAATGGTACTGGTTATGTACAAACTATGCTGTGTGGTTTTTGTTTATGTTAGAAAATGGCCGTTGCAACAGATATATAATGTACATGTACATGTATTCGCTTTTTTTGTCATTGACAGACACAGGCCAAATCACTGATATGGGCAAAATGGCTGACACAGGCCAAATCACGGATAGGGGCAAAATGGCTGACGCAGGCCAAATCACTGTTATGGGCAAAATGGCCAACGCCGGCCAAATCACTGATATGGGCCAAATGGCTGACGCAGGCCAAATCACCGATATAGGACAAATGGCCGACACAGGCCAAATTACTAGCTAATGCTAAGGCCAAATGACTGTGTCATGGGTAAAACTCAATGGCATAGGCGAAATCATTGGTATGGGCCAAATGGCCGACACAGGTCATAAATCTTCAACTTGAACAAATTAGCTGGCACAGGCCAATTAAGTCACTGACTGGTTTATGCCGAATGGCTGACACAGGCCAAATCACCGACTTATGCCAAATGGCCATTACAGGCCAAACCACTGGCTAATGCCAAGGCCAAAATAACGAATGTTATGGGTAAACTCAATGGCATATTAAGCCAACTATATATAGGCTGCATCAATTACATAAATGGGCAAAATCACTTTCAAATCACTGACTGAATCAAATCACTGATCTATGCCAGATCACAAACAGGCAACATGAATGACATGTGGGCAAAATCACCGACTTCAGCCAAATCACTTGCTCAGATCATCAAATCACTGATCCACGGGCCAATAAATCACTGCCAGGAGCCACAATCATTGACCCATGCCAAATCACACCATATGGGCAAAATCACTGATATATACAAAGGCCATATCATAGATATTTACACAAAAATCGAGAATACTAACTTGGCTTTCACTTTTCTCTGTTAAACCTAGATATAGATAAATCAAAGATCAGATAACTGGGAAAAAAAAATTTCTGAGTAAAACATAATACATTGCAGATCAATTTGCTATAATACATGTAGTCTGAATAATAAGCTGCCTTAGACATGTTAGAATTTTTCTCTGTTCTTGATTTTTGTTAGCACATTTTATTTTATGCAATGACAAGCTCATCAGCTCAGGGCCGAATGGACCGATCCAGTAGGCATCGCCCCATGGTGTTCTGACCAATCACAGCCGTGATTTATGACCAACGTGCGTGCACTAAAGTCCGACATACGTGCACGCGCGTATGATGTGCGCGGAATTTAATGCGCACGTGTTAATTTGCCCATGTGCGCACTGGGCGGAGCTTACCGGATTGGTCCACTGACGTATTGCCGCTTGCGAGTTGGCCTTGCCGCTTGCGAGTTAGCCACGCCCCTTAGACAACCCTATGGAATTTTTGTACACTAAATTTTGCTAAACTCAGATTTTGCGTGCTCCTGTACAAAAAAGCTTACAATGAAAAACGGAATTCTGTGGTTAGCAGAGCCTTAAAATTGCTCTCTGCACATCATGTGAAAAACAATATGAATACAACAAATGGACACATGATGCTGCCATAACTACCTCTTGCGTTCAAACTATGTGTGAGGCCCTCAAGCGATAAAACGATTGACAACATTGTATGAAAATATTTCAGACAGGGAAAGTGGGGAGGAGGTGGGAGTTGATTTCATTTGACACACGACGGGTGCTTTTTTGCTCTTTTTCCCCCATTTCTTTGGTTTTTTTTCAATTAAAATTTCACAAATCCGTAGAAGGAAAAGGGTTGAGAAGCATCAATTTAAAAAAAAAGAAGGGATCGTCCCTCCTCTTCTGATTTTATTAAAAAAGTGACAGATGTTGAGGGGGCCATGACCCCGTCACCTCCCCCCTCATTCCCCTGGATTCTCCGGTGGGAGGGGAGGGACAAGCCAACCAAACCGCCCCCTTAAATTTGTCACCGACTCCACGAACTGACACCCGAATGTTCCCGCGTTTTTTTTGGTTACGCGTGCACCGTTAGTACTGTGCAATATTGCTTTTTGTGAACTGACACTTAAAGTCTATCTAGAGTCGTTATTTTTGTTTTCACGAACTGAAACCGGACTTATCTATTGCAAATTTCTAATTAGCTAAGCATCTGTATTAAAGTCGAGATTGCGTTTCACCGGTTAACAGATTCATAAGTTGAATGATTTCTATAACCGCACAAGTACTTGGATTGAGTAAAATCGCGCGGAAGCATTTTCTGTGATTTTTATTTCCACCACAGTGCTTGCGTGTCAGTTCGTGTAAACAATCATACGCACAACTCGCAACTTCACGAGGTGCGCGCGCGCAAAGTGCCCGCGTGTCAGTTCGTGAAAACGGTGACGAAATTGACCCTTGAGCCGATACACCCCAACTTGTAACTAATAATTGCGTCACGTTCACTCGTTATGTTTCTTGGCGCGTAGAGGTTTGGGGACCATGATCTTGGTGCTCTGCTTGGCATTTCCCTTAGGGAAGAGATCCTTCATATCGATGGCTTCATGCACTCCTTCCTTGATGTCTTGGGCCGGGTTGGACATCCCCGGCGACGTCTGCTTCACCCCGTGCTGCATAGCCAGGTACTGCATGACGGCGAAGATGATCCCAGTCAGGCCCGATGTTGCGAGCATGAAGTACATCAGGCCGATGGGGCCCGTCTGCAGGAAGCCAGAGTTCAGGATCTCGCCATCGCCGTCCGGTTGACGCAGCATCAGCCCGATCAGCATGGGGAAGACCATCTCGCCGAAGGCCGAGCCCACGACGAGGATAGTGGCCATGCTCCCGGTCACCTTGTAGTAGGACTCCAACCAGGAGATGCCGGCTGGGAACAGGGACGCCATGGACAGGCCTAGCACCATCGTTCCGATCCACAGCACTGTGCCGCTGGTGTCCCCGTACCAGGACAAGACGGCTGAAGACAGCAGGCATCCCGCCATGTCAAGGATCAGCATGACCAGCGGTGAAACCACGCTGGCAAGGCAGATGGACAGCCCCCGGCCCGTGGCGAAGGCTCCCCAGAAGGCAGCGTTCAACAAGGACGCGGCAGCCTCGTCGAATTCCAGACTGCACTGCGTGGCGAAGGTGAAGATGTAGCCACCGAAGCTGACCTCCGCCCCGACGTACAGGAAGTAGAAAAAGAACATCAGGACCAGAACGGTGACCTTGAAGTCCTTGTTCTTAGTCTGCCCGTCACTGGCCTGTCCGGAAGTCGGCGGTGGGGGCTTGACCGGAGACGTGCAGAAGAAGTAGAAGAAAGTCCCGGACACCAGCATGTTGACGACGCCGATGATGATGTAAACATTTCGAAACTGGCCTGAAGGCACAGGTTCACCTGCAAGAAATGTGCAATGCAGAGACTACCTTGTGAGGGGATCAGTCACAAGGGGATCAGACAAGTCGACCGTTGAGACAACTCCACTCGGGACAATTCGACTGTTGAGACAACTCAACCGTTGAGACAACTCGTATGTGCATTAAATGAAAGACAAGTTGTCCGTTGAGACAAGTCGCCCTTTGAGACAAGTCAACTCGCATGTTTTTGGGCCTTGGATAGTACCGGGGATTTTTTGCCGTGTTCGGCTTTGATCATTGGGTTGGTGCTGCTTAACGGGATACAATTGATCGCCGCTTGCAAGTTACATGAGTTGCCAGGCCTGTGCCCCCACGTGCCAGTCGACATGGCCGTACCGTGCACAGTGACATCGTTTTTGCCGGGCCTGTGCGTACACGCACTTTTAAATCCCCGGTCGACGTGGCCGTACCGTGCAAGGACCAGCACGGTGATATCGTTTTTGCGCCATGTGTTTATATGTACCGTATATACTTTTCCACAAAGTCGAGTTGTCTCAATGATCGAGCTGTCCCGAGTCAAGTTGTCTCAACGGTTGAGTTGTCTGTCAAAAAATGGTAGTCGGCTTTCTCAAAAACAAAGATCGATTTATATTATGTTCATGAAAAGTTTTTACCTCGATGTCAACAGACAAATATTCCAAGTTCCAATAATCCGATACTAAATTATTCGAAAAATGCACGGCATTACTAACTTTTTTATCATAATCATCAATTGTGGTACAAAGAAAGATTTTCCTTCTTGGTGTGTATACATTTGGCAGTTCAAGCAAGGTAATGCCACATTGTGCATTTTAATCATACATGTACTACCGGTACCTCTAGAGCTCTTTGCCGAGTCATCATTAAAGTATTAAAGGGAATATACATCATTTGCTTTTGCTGTAATTTTCAGAAATGGATGGAATTGGGGGGGTTGGAAATATAAAGCAAATATAGATGCACTGACTTTTTGAAGGTTTTGGGTTCGAAAATGCTATAAAAACCAAGAAAAACGATCATTTTCCTGTAGTCTGGTTCCCTGACTCCATATAAGAAGAAACAGAGCAGTTTACATACATTGGGGAATTGTAAGGTCAGGGAACCAGTCTAGCTGGCTCGTACCCGTTCATAGGTTTGTAATCGATTGCAAACAAGTGCAATGGTCAATTGGGGCCGGTATTTGAAAAAAAGCCAGTTGTTTCCAACGCTGATCGGCCGATCAGCGTTGGAAATTGATACAAAAATACCACTTTTCTTGAAAATGACAGTATACCAGGTGCCATAATTTTACAGGATGCTTTAGACTGTCATTTACCAACATCCTATTAAGGTATTTCGCAAAAACTTGGTAGTTTTGTTTTTCGATGTTTGCAAATGTTGTATATTCCCTTTAATGAAAGTTCAACGGAAATACAACATGTAAGCATAATTTGGAAGCATCAAGAAGATAGCCCTAATTTGTGTAAGGGTATCGATTCTTTCATACATGATCATACATGAACAACTGCACTGTGTACCTTGCACCAATGGGATGAGGGGATAACTCGATCTGCCCATTTGGAGGTCTGATGGTCAATTGTAGGCACATCACTCACCTTTAGAAACTACAATCGCGTCTGGTTCTGGTTCTGGTGTAGTATCCGGTGTGTATTCTGCTTCTGGTGTCGACTCTGCCTTCCCCTCTGGATTAGTTTGTTGCTCTCGTTTTCTCCTCCTATTGCCATTTGGTTCCGCTTTTGGTTCCGCTTTTGGTTCCGCTTTTGGTTCCGCTTTTGGTTCCGCTTTTGGTTCCGCTTTTGGTTCCGCTTTTGGTTCCGCTTTTGGTTCCGCTTTTGGTTCCGCTTTTGGTTCCGCTTTTGGTTCCGCTTTTGGTTCCGCTTTTGGTTCCGCTTTTGGTTCCGCTTTTGGTTCCGCTTTTGGTTCCGCTTTTGGTTCCGCTTTTGGTTCCGCTTTTGGTTCCGCTTTTGGTTCCGCTTTTGGTTCCGCTTTTGGTTCCGCTTTTGGTTCCGCTGCGGGTTCCGCTGCGGGTTCCGCTGCGGGTTCCGCTGCGGGTTCCGCTGCGGGTTCCGCTGCGGGTTCCGCTGCGGGTTCCGCTTCCGGTTCCGCTGCGGGTTCCGCTGCGGGTTCCCCTTCCGGTTCCGCTTCGGGTTCCGCTTCGGGTTCCGCATCGGGTTCCGCTTCGGGTTCCGCTTCGGGTTCCGCTTCGGGTTCTGCTTCGGGTTCCGTTTTGGGTTCTGCTTCGGGTTTTGCTTCGGGTTCTGCTTCGGGTTCTGCTTCGGGTTCCGCTTTGGGTTCCAGCTGTGTTGTAAATTTAGTGTGGGTTGTAACAAGCATTGTATTGGATGTGGGCGCCACTGTTGTGGTATAGGATGTCAGAAATTGAGCTTGGGTTGTAGCAAGCGTTGTATTGGATGCGGGCAGCATTGCTGTGGTACCGGCTGCCGTCGCAATGAATGGGGCAGCGAGGAGGGGGGCCAAAAATGCACCCACTGCAAAGCAGAAATGTAGGGCTTGAAGGAAGGGGGACGACCGCTTACCCCAGAGCCGCAGACAAACCACATTGGCACCTGCATGAAATAATGAAAAATAAATTCTAGGATGTGTTCCTGGTAACTGGAAGAGGACTGTATGTTTATTGGCTCTGTGTGCGAACAAGAGAATGTCTTTTGACTTCTTTTGAGTTCCCCATGAACTGGACACACCGCGAGAGCGTACTGGTTCACGTGCATATGGGGCGAAATACGCACCACTCATTGTTGTCTTCGCATGGGCATAAGGCAACGTTGGAAATGCGTTCGAATGTCTCTCTCAGTGGTCTGCCCCAATTCTCCCTTCCTGACCACTGAGGGGGTACTTGTGCACGGAGCCCATAGTGACACCAATGACAATAAAACTTTGATGTTCTGAAAGTTGAATACTGTTACGGCTAACGAAAAATTATGTGTTTACACTACAGTTAGCTTATTTCACAGGTTAGCGAGGAAGTTAGGCTTTAAATGCATGCCTACATTCCGTATCTAAAACCGAAACCGACCTGACCCGACTGAAATGATGAAAAAACCGACCCGACTGTATCCGAAGTCGGTTTCGGGTTTGGTCGGTATTGGTTTCAGGTCAGGTCCGCACAACAACCCTCAGTGCAAATTCCAACTCCATATGGTAAACTGTACACCAAATCTAATTCTGATTATTGGTGGTCTGCCTAACCCCATGTAAAGCATAATCAGTTTACTAGTGCAGTACTCACTCCAACAGATTCCAACAAAACATCTGGAGGTTGACTGGATGGGGATTGTTAGGGTTAATACAGAGTGGTCCAATAAAAGGTTTACACTTTTTCAAATGTAGATTTCTCAGAAATTGGCAAGACATGTTGAAATTGTTTTGGAAGACATTCATAAACTACAGCATCTTCGTGGTACATGGTGAAAACGTCGCAAAAAAATTAAGCCTAAATTAAGAAATGGGGATGATTTAAAGAATGACGGTCAAAAATCAGTTTGTCCACGCATGAAAAATGGTCAACACAATAGCACTGTGTGCACAAAGAACTGCATTATATCCCAAAGACTGTGTGGACATACCGATCAATAAAGCATGCATGACTGCCATACATTTGTAGACTTATGTGTGGACAAAATAGTCTTTGACCACTTTTCTTCAAAAGGCCGCCATTTCTTAACTTGAGCTTTAATTTCAACGCCGTTTTCACCCAGATACATTGTACCACCAGGATATTGTAGTTTAGGACTATTTTTACCCTAACTCTCCAGGGTATTTGGGCTAGAAACCCTGCCTAACGCAGCAACATGCAACATTTGTCTAAGTGACAAGCCTGCCCAGTGCAGCAAGATCCATCAGGTCAAAAAATCTCATAGCCAAACTGCCTCAGAGTCTGTGGTCACTGAATGCTGCAGGATACAACTGTGGCATTGTTTCCATGGGACTAGCTCTCATTGTTTCAGTACTGGCCGTTTATGTACTGGTGTTGGTAGCTGAGTGCATCAAAGTGCACCAGACTTTTCCACCTGATGCACTGTCTTGCATCTGGCTAGGTTAGGGTTAAAGCAATTTCAACGTGTCTCCCCAATTTTGAGAAATCGGCCTCTGAAAAAGTGTAAATTTTTTTGTTTGTTGGACTACTCTTCATACAAAAAGTGTACTGGCACGAAATGCTACTATAAATGTGATGTCACAAAATTAAGTCTACGGCACGCACCTGTGTCGAGAGCTCCCATGGCCAGCCCCACCATCGAGAGGAGAGTGGCCAGACTCCAGAGGGCGCTGCAGAACGGCGCCGCGATCAGCCCGATCCCGGACGCCAGCAGCGCGACGGCCATCAGCAGGGAGGGGTGGAACCACTCAAACATGACCCCTCCCACTACAGACCCCGCTAGGTAGCCAACGCTGCGGCCCACGAAGACGTAGGAGATCTTGGGGTAGGTGACGGCCAGCTGTTCCTTGAGCGATGTCAGTGTAGGCCCCAGAACGGCAATGGCCAGGCCCTGCAGGCATGGTGGAAAACAAGTGAAGGGAAATCAAGATGCGGGAAGTGGATACCATGGCCAATACGTGTAGGTGTGATCCGATACACCGTGTCCTCTGGAGACGTGCACACAATAGGGAACAAAAGATTGTATACGTCTCCACACAGGGCAATTTCTATAGATGAATACGTCTCCACAAGATTTTCACGAAATAGATATATGGATTTTACTCAAAAACTGGGAATTTCCAAGCTATGTTGATCCGTCACAAATGGAAGAGTTTTAGAAAAGGGATATTAAGCCCAAATTTCAGCCAAGGAAATTAATTCTGGTTAAAATAAGAGCATTTTGAAACTTCACTTTCAAACTCGAAAACTTTACTACATGTACACGAGAACAAAGAATTGTCTCAACAAGGATACAAATTTCAGTATGTGTGATTTTAAAAGAATATTGTATGCCACAAAATGGAAAACCAAATGGGCTCTCTTATTCCACGGCAGGCGTGGATCCAGAGGGGGGTGGGGTGGGTTTGGGGGTTAAAAAAAAAAAAAAAACCCAACTCTGTCCAAAATTTTGAAAAATTCCACAACCAAACTTTTTTGTTGGTAATAATGTCCGCCGTGCACAAAATACATGTACGGACAGAGCCAGCTTGGTTAGGGGGTACATGTATATGGACATTATTCTGTGATATATTGTTAACAATCTTTGGATTTGAACAGTGCCCATTGAAAGTATGGTGCGATCCCTTTAACCCTATTCCATCTAGCCTTTCACCAAGGCCATCGTGGTTTAACTTGCCCGCATTCAAAGCGGTGAAAACGCAAAGCGACTGGAGATGGAGACCACACATGCGAGTGGCGAAGCCCCGAGGGCCTTTGCTAACTTGTCGAGAAATTCTTATGTTTTTCTTGATAATCTTGATTTTTGCTACCCCAAAAGGGTAGCAAAATTCCAACCAATCAGCCTTTTAGTGCGTGCGTGGCTGCTACCCGGATGCGTCGACGCGCCAGGATGCTTGCACAAATTTTAAAAAAAAAAATGCGAGTCTACTTTTCAAAGAGATCATGACCACGTTATTGTTCTTACGGTACATTATCTTGTTTTAACTTTACTTATAAAGGTATTTCAAGAAATTATTTGAGGGTATGAACTTATTTTTCATCTGAACTTACAGTTATTTGCTCTTACGTTTTCCTTACTCACCCTTCTTTAAAAATGGAAGCGACTAGGCAAAATCTGCGTTGTGATTGGTTAACCTTTGGCACACTTCTCATTTGCATAAAAACTACCTTACGTTACCCACAGACATGCCATGCATGCCCGATTCCGTCCTTTAATCGGTCACATGATGATCAGTCACGTGATGACAACCATGTGACTTCCTTCGTGAATCTGATTATTAACATAACACTGCGTCCGGTGAAATCAGATCTGGTAAAAATCAGACGCAAAAAAAACCAAACATGATTGATTTTAACCAGTCGCCCTGTATGGGCTCCGTGCGCCAACAAAAGAGGGCGTATTTTAACCACTTTTGAGAGCTCCTTAAATGGGACACACAGCGTGCACGTACTTACTGTACAGTACGGATGACTTCCTGAATGTGCAAAAGCTATAGCAACAGCGTCTCCGCGTGACCGTCATGACAGGCATAGTCGGCGCGAAAACTTCCGATGGTCTCCAAGACTAATCCCCGCCCCCAATAACTTTGAATCATTTGAAATACGCAGTGGATGAACCGGGAAACCAGTCTGGGTCTCCCCCTAGTCTCCTTTTCAAGCCGTTGAAGGGGTACTTGTGCACGGACCCAAACGGTCAGATCGGTCCGAATTTTCAGCACACACCTCTGAACGATGGCCCCTGAAAGGTTTGCGTCTGGCTTTATGCAATAACATGTGGCGTAGCCCAACTATATTAGTCTCAACCTACCGCTCCTAGGAACGCAGCGCAGAGTGCCAGGGTCTTCTTCAGTCGTCTGTCTTCCTTGGGACCATTCATGATGTCGTCTATGTTCTTGACGCCATTACCCAGAAGCCCCCTGGTTTGCTGGCCGGACCGGGACGTCGAGAACAGAACATCGTCTTCATCAGATTCAGCCATGGTTTACTCTCTGATTTTTCCCTATTAGAACCTGTCAAAATGATAAATGAATTTTCATTTCTTTTTATTGCCTAGGCCGAGTAAAAAAAAAAGGGTTTAGTGTCCCCGCCCGCTTCCTTTTTGGAGGCCGCCTCCTTTTTTTTTTCATTGAAAAAAAATTTGATAAATTTTAAACAGTGACATTATTTTACCCTCTTTGTCTGTTGCATCTAGCCCATATAAAGCTGGCGTGTCATTTCCTGAGTCCAAGTGGCGGCCACTTTTTAAACAAAAGCTGGCGGCCAAATTGAAAAAAAAAAAGCCTCCTCCTTCCTTTTTTTCGAAAGGCAGGACGGCCAAACTTTTTTTTTATTATTTGGCCTAAGGCTGAGTGAACAAAAATCAACCGGTTTCTTGTCTGACGATAGTAGGGTTTATTTAGCGACATACAGATCCTTGTCATTCGATTGGTGGAACTCACATCATGTGACATTCGTTATTGCTCCCATTCACGCCGGGGCTCAAAAAGTCCCATTCGCCTATGGGGAATGGGAAACACTCTTCAACAGTTAGGATCATTCTTGTTCCATGACACGGTATTGGTGTGCAAATGCATGCTGGTGTGCGCATAGCGCATATTGTTCCAGAGAGCCAGCATTACAGAGTTGGGTTCAAACATTTTCAGAAAGGGGTGGTTTGGAAGAGACATTGTCCACTAATTGTGCATTGATATAAAAGTTCAAATATATCAAATTACAAGGATGTATGTCAGTCAGGCCTATGTATAAAATAAGACAAATATTGAGTGGCTTTAAAATTGTAAATGCACTTGTGTTTACAAACGTGATCCAGTCTACTCATAAACAATAATCAATGTATCGCGGGCGCTCGGTAACGGAATCGCACTCGGGATACGGGGACCATCGAATGTACGCTGGGCATGATGACCACATCACAATTCAAACGTGAGTCAGAAATTTAACGAGTTCACGATCGCGAGGGGAGCTCTCGGAATTGAACGGGAAATTTCTCTTTTCATCCGGATTGTAAGTAAACTTCAGTACAACCATCTTAATTATCGATGTCTACATTTGTACTTGTACCTCAGGTGGCGTATCTAGTAATTTGAAGGCCGTTTTGAGGGTGAAATCTGATGTTTTTGTTGGGCAATGTTGGGTTTTTGGCTCAATGACAGAATTGTGTTGCTCGGCATATACGGATTAGCTTGGACCCTACTATTGCCAGACCATGTCCGAATGTAAAAAGGTGATAAGTTGGGTCCAAGTTACTCAATTATCGGCGATCGTGAAGTGTACATGTAGGGCCCCTGTTTTGTTTTGATCAAATTAGAGTCAAAAATGTTTTTTTATTGCTCGAAAATCACCTTTACAATCAAAAGCAGACTTTTCTCAATTCAAATGACACCCTTTTTGCAATTTTGAACAGATTCTTGGGGTAGAGATCACGATTTTCGTGCGCGGTTTGTGCCTTTCTATGACATACCTGTTTATAGAGAATGTCGCCAACTGGTTTGGTAGGTCCAATAATTTTAAAATGGATTTCGTTCCCTTATAAGTTACAGGAACCGGGCCCTACACTTCACGATCGCCCAATTATCCGCCATCGCATGACACAACAAAAATATCAGATTTCCCCCTAAAAACAGCCACAAAATAACTTTATAGTGGCCTATAAATTTAAAATGGGATTAATTTGCAATCGCTTTAAAGAGGGTGAGTGTGCTTCTACAGCCATGAAAGCGTAAATAAACTAATCTGAATGTGGAAAAGATTTTCACATACGAAGTTCACTAATTTTCCTCTGTATTGACTAACAAGCCCCCAGATAGCAATTTCATGTCATCAAAGTCAATTTGAGCAGTGAGAAAATACAAGCATTTTCTTAGAAAACACCTAGAATTTTTCAGTCCAATCTCATAGGGTTTGTACACAGGGTGTTGAGTGAACTTCGTATATGGAAATCTTTCCCTGAATGTGAAAATAAAAACTTGACATGTTCTACAAATGTACAAAGTTCGGCACAATTGCAGAATACCCAGCCACTCAATCTATCCACCTCGTAGCCGGCTACGGAGTCACGGTTGATTGCCCTCAATAAGCCTTCTCAGCGCTACTTTGTACTATGCGTCATGCTCCACTGCACTCCCACTCCGTACCCGCGTAGCCGCAGTTGGTTTGGACTTTTTTCATTAACTCCCATTCCTTTTGTGTTGCTTCGTTCTCAAGCATATTCAAGGGGACTCCCACTCCGTATCCGCGTAGCCGGCAACAGGGTGGTTGGTTTGGACTTAGAATTTTGTCAGCAACTCCCATTCCTTTTGTGTTGCTTCGTTCTCAAATGAATGTCAGACAAGTCGACCGTTGAGACAACTCGACTCGGGATAACTCGACCGTTGAGACAGCTCAACTTAATGGAAATGATACACGTGGAGCGGAAAAAGTTGCATAAATCTGTGGCAAGACCGGTCCGGTGGCCGTCGCATCGGGCCGGCGCACACCGCCCGCGAGGACCGGGCCCGGCCCGGTCCGGCACGCGGGCACGTTGAATGGCGCGGCAAGTGGGCGCACAGGCCTGGCACAAACGATGTCACCGTGCACGGTACGGCCACGTTGACCGACCGGGGATGGGATAAGTGGGCGCACAAGCCCGGCAAAAACGATCGTTCATAGCTCCCAAAACGGCGATCAGCCGCCGTCAAAATCCCTGGTTCTATCCCAAAAACTAGGCCCAAAAACATGCGAGTCGACTTGTCTTTCCATTTATCGCACATACGGTCGAGTTGTCTCAACGGTCGAGTTGTCTCAACGGTCGACTTGTCCCGAGTCGAGTTGTCTCAACGGTCGACTTGTCTGACCCCCTCTCAAATAAATGGACCCCCACTTAGTATCCGCGGCCGCGTAGCTGGCAATGGACTTGAATTGTTTCTTTTCCAGTGACTCCAACCGTGTAGCCAGTGATTTTAGGGGTGTATTTCCGAGTGGCGGGGTATTCTGCAATTACTCCCAAACTCAATGTTCGGTTACATCATCCAAGTCAAGTGTGGCCTTTATTTACGGATGTAGTCCATTAAATTGGCAACATTTATAGGGCTACAGGGGATGATACTTCTAGAATTAGAAGGCTTCTAATTCAAGAAAGTTATGGGATGAAGTCCATATCATACTCCGTTTTGGAAAGATTTCCATATACGAAGTTCACTGATTTTCCTCTGTATTGACTAACAAGCCCCCAGATAGTGTGGCCGTCAATATGCTGCGCTGAACCCAAGGTCAGCGCAGCATACCGACGGCTAGCCCCATAAATGTGGCCTATTTACTGGACTGCCTCCGTAAACATAGGCCACACATCCACATGTACACAAATCGTGTCGACGGAGCCAAATTTTGATTTTCACATTTAGGCTTAGTTTGTAGGATTTTTTTGCTTTAGAAGCATACTCACCCTCTTTATAGGCTAATCAGAAAGTGCTGCCTTTTTCAGATGTCTAATTTTTGTGAAATTTCATGTTGAAATTTTGATACGCAAACGTGTAAAAATGAATCTGGAAATTTCACGATAAATATACATCTGAAAAAGGCAGCACTTTCTGATTAGCCTATAAAGAGGGCGAGTATGCTTCTAAAGCAAAAAAAACCTACAAACTAATCCTAAATGTGAAAATCAAAATTTGTCTCCGTCGACACGATTTTTGTACATGTGGATGTGTGGCCTATGTTTACGGAGGCAGTCCAGTAAACTGGCCACATTATGGGGCTAACCGACGGCCACACACTAGTGGGGCTAGCCCCCAGATAGCAATTTCATGTCATCAAAGTCAATTTGAGCATGCAGTGAGAAAATACAAGCATTTTCTTAGAAAACACTTAGAATTTGTCAGTCCAATCTCATAGGGTTTGTACACAGGGTGTTGAGTGAACTTCGTATATATGGAAATCTTTCCTCAGTTTGAACAAAAACTGCTTTCCGCGAATTCCGGAAGCCCTCATTATGATCCAGCATGTCCGGAAACATTGCACACGATCCAGTGGTGATCAAAGTACAGATCGGTACTACCTGTTGCACACTAAAAAACCAAAGGATAAAAAGGATCTAAAATGTGAAACAAGTCGGTTATACTTACGACCGAAGGACGAAATTACCAAAATTCACAGGCCTCGTTTGAAAAGTTTCACGGTACTGATGCAATGCGCAGTATGTAACGTGACACGTCGATGGTCGAGCGATCGCGGGTCAGATAAGGGGAATCCCCTTTGACCCCCCCGAACGTAAACTCCAAATAGGATTAAGAGGGCGCTATTTCAGTCGGCATGCAGCGCACTGAAAAGCCGTTGTTTCCCCCCCCCCCCCCCCCAGCACTATAATAACCCTAACTTAATAAAAAAAATTTTTAAAAAGACAGAAAGAGCTTAGAATTTGTTTTGAAAAGTTTGAAAAGGAAATGGAGAAAACAAAATCAAAGGATTATACCTCATATAGGTTGACTTTTTCAATTTGAGGCCCTATATAGCTCAGTGAATAACTGGACATTTTTGCATATCACACACACAAACATTACAAGTTTGTAACTTGGGAACAACAATATGTATTAATTCTTTAAATTTTCACATACAAGCTGATATCATACTTTCAATGGGGGCGTTCAAATCTGACGATTATTAACACTTTTGCAGAATACAAATACCCCCTAAACCAAACAGCCTCTGTCCCGATTTTGTGCATTAATACCATTTTTATATTTTATATTTTGGGGTGTCAGAGCGGAGGGGGGGGGGGGGAAGGATTCACATTATATTTTTAATGAATTTATATGAAACAAAAAAAAATCGACAGAGCTGGGGGGGGGGGGGAATTTGAGGGGGAGGGGGTTTGACCCCCTTAGCCTTTCGCCAAGTCCATCGTGGCTTAACTTACCGGCATTAGGCCAAAAAAAAAAAAAAATTCGGTCTCTGGTCAGACCAATGTTCCGTAATTGACGCGGCCGCGCGACGCGCATGATTAAAATCGACGCGCGCGCTGACCAGAGACCGACTTATTTTTTTTTTTGGCCTTAGACTGCTTATGGTCTCCATGAAATACATGGAGACTCTCGTGTGCTTATAGCAGCGCTATGAAATTGGGCCCTTTTTGAGAGAAACAAATAGCGATTATCTCTAACAGTCCTCAATCCTCCAATTTCAATATCATTTTGCATAGTCTTCCCATTGGTACACAACAGAGGTGGCAGCAAGTCATTGTTTGCAAGTCACAAGTCAAGTCAGAAGTCATTAGGTCCAGTCACAAGTCAAGTCACAAGTCATTTGGTCTAAAAACAAGTCAAGTCACAAGTATCTTTGTCCAAGAACACGTCAAGTTGCACATTATTTTGTCCAGCTGTAAAAGCTAAAAGAATTAACCTGGCGTCAACTTACGGGTTATTTTGAACATGCCTCCTTAATTCCCCTTTTTCAATGTGTTGCAATTACTATTCTTGTAGTTTATCACAAATCTGTCGGATATTAGCCCTTTGTATATTTTAATAAATTTACTTTACATTGTAGAAATAAATGTTGAGATGACCGTGAAAAAAAGACTCCACTCACTCGATTACATGTAGTATACCAACACTTTATTGTTCAATTTTCATGTATACTAAAAGCCTACCAATGGGTTAGGCTATCCGGTATTTTACATGCAATTGACAAAGGCCTGCTTTCTTTTCATGAAAGGTTCCTTTCAAAGTTTGTTCAACCAATACATTAAGCAAGAGACAATTGGTCATTGAAAACTGTAGTTTGTTGTGACAGTCTTATTGAAAACTTTTGAAACTAGTGGGAACTATTCATTTTACTGGATTCAGTCACTGAGGTCTATTTTCTGGAATGAAAAAGCTAATTAAAAGTATAATAGCTTAATTAAAGTGTATTGGGTCGCTCGAGAAGCGTCTGACTTGGGTTGGTAACAAGTCATTTTTTGCAGTCCCAAGTCAAGTCACAAGTCATTGTTTGCAAGTCCAAGTCAAGTCACAAGTCAAAGCTGGTATTTACAAGTCAAGTCACAAGTCACAAAATTAGCGATTCGAGTCCGACTCGAGTCCAAGTCACATAACTCGAGTCAGCAACTCTGGTACACAAACAGCAGGCTGGACTGGAACCAACAATCTTTAAGACATAGCGAGTTTCATGCATGATACCATATCGCCATGGCATTTTATTTCCTACTAAAGCTCTTTCCACATTGCTTACAAATTGCAAAGTTCATTTTCCGTTTTAATCATGATATAAAATTCACCATCTCTATATACAATTCTTTATACTTATTACAAAAACAAATAACAACCTTATTGTCTGGCACCCAGTAATTTCGAAATTGTTACAATTTTCCAACTACAGGGGTGCATACCTTGCCAAAAATCACAATGAGCATTAGTCCCCTCATTTAGAGCGACCAAAGTATAAAGTTATATAATTCAAGTAGTTAAAAAATAAAATTCAATATAAACTAAAACCTGGGGTGATTTTGCTTTGGTCAATGTCTTATTCAAAAGTGAACAATTTTGCACGGCTCGAAAAAAAAATAGCACTTGCGAAAAAAGAAATCTATTTTTCACAATAAAACTTAAAAATAGGACCAGCAATACAACTTTTATAATATTAAGTAACAATGAAACAACAGTCTTTGGTATCTTGTGTACGTATTTCACAGGAATAAACACTCGCTCACAGATGTACTTCTGGGCGAGTAACATGATTACTTGAATACTCACAAGTATTTTATGCTACTCCTTCTACTCGTGGTTTGCCATCTGATCTCTCACTACTTTGGTGACGCCGTAAAATTGTAAAATGTCTTTTTCACAACCTAAAAATGAACATGTTAGCAGTTGATTGATACGACGTGTACTATTTCTTAGACTGGATCCCGGTCCTTCCAATGTAGGGACCGGTAGCGGGTAAAAGATTAGGAATACATTAGGAGGATTTCATCCTAATGTATGCAAATTACATGCAGGACTAACCTAGGTCTGATTCCCGCCCCTAGATACAAAATCACAACGATAATGTTAGCATGGAACCCAGCCTATTGCAAAATGGCAACAAGGCTACCACTAATGTGCAGTTACCGGTATGTGTGGTGATGAGCTGCGATGTTCTCTGAATTCGAAAGTGTCTCTGGCACTATAAATAAACAGAGGGGCACTACTTTTCAGTATTTGAAACCTACGCAGTTAAAATGCTTGAAAGTTGCCTTCATGGAGACACTGGCGATTTTGCCTACTGGTTTTTGTGAGTTTTTTGATATCCAACTGTCGATCATGCGCAAAGCTGTAAACGTTATTTTCAAAAATGAAAAATCATGCTGCGCACGCGCAGAGGTGATCCAATCAACGGCTATAATTAAGAACTACACTTAACCAAAAAAGAAAGTCCCCCTTAATACTTTTTGTCTAACTCAAAAACTACTGGGCACATCTTGCTCAAATTACAACTGATCAGTACAGAAATTCCTTAGCAATCCAGCCACACTCTTCGTTTGGCCCAAAACACTGATAATGTGTACACAATTATGCAATTTATGACAAATGGTACCTAAAAAAAAGTTGCACTTTTGTATACGTGCAAGGTGAGTGTGAACCACAACTTGTACGTATACAAAAGTGCAACTGTTTTCAGTATCGTTTGTCATAAATTGCATGAATTCGTACACATTATCGCTGTTTTAGGCCAAATAAAGAGTATGGCTGGATTGCTAAGGAATTTCTGTACTGATCAGTCGTTATTTGATCAGTCTAACTATTTCTCAGCGCTACCTGAAACATGATTACGACTGGAATTTTAAAAAACAGTTACTGCTGGATTTGTCCAATCAAGAGCCACTTTTAAAAGTTTTGAAAACACTTTTTTTTAAAATTTACTCTACAACAGGACAAAAACACATGTTCATACTCTAAAACTACCCAGACTTGCCAACAATAATCTCAGGATTTTTATTGACAAAACTAAAAATTAAGAAGATTTGATTCAAGTTTGTTCAGTGACAGCTAAATCATTTGAAAATAAAAGGCGATATCAATCGACGTCAAATGCTACCATGCGTCGTTATACTTCCAGACTCCAAATGTTACTGGGAAAACTTGCCATCCAACACCTAGACAAAAATGAAGATAAATGAAAACAGAAAAGATTTGAAGGTGTGCGTGGTGAAGGTAGCAATGAGATGAAGGTTTATGGTAGCACCTAGTCCGAAAATTTGGGACTCTCAATACTGTGTATGAGAGTCCCAAAACTTAAGGTATCCATATCGTGCAAAAGTTTGTGTTGCATAATAAAACCAGTGTGAATCAAATTGGCAAGCTTCTTGCTCACTACAGTTTCTTCAATAATCCCCGAAACTTCTGCCTAGCAAAGTTGCTGTTGTGAGCATTGCATCACCAAAAAATTCAGCTTTTAATTCTAATTTTGCAGAGAGTTATCGAAATCCAAACGTGAGACATCACGTTGATATGTACTGCAATGCATTGTGCAAAAAGACTCCTCAGCTATAACATTTTCACCGTGTAGATAAAACAGCGCCCTCTTGTTGATCTGAGTGAATGCAAAATGTTTCATTTTTTAACAGAGGGCGCTATGTTCATTTGGCCATCGATTAAAAAACAAGTAAGCTGCAAGGCTCTTCCTACACCTACCCAGAATACATTGGGAATCACACACATATTTCCAGAGCATGGAGAATGACGTGGATGGTTTTTGAACTGCCAAATACTTGCCTTAAAATTGGATTTAAGGTCTCAAATTTCGCAGGTGACATGCTTGCAACTATAGCATTTTGATGTATGTGTTGTGTGGGCATTAATTAGCTAAATGGTGAGTAAAAAAACGTCAGTTGTAATTTTGCATGTTTTTATGCCCTCAAGGTCCCAGTCTGGGTAGCACTATGTGACAAATCTCTTTCGTGAGTTTGTGAGGCTCTGAAAAGAACCAAGGGAAACTCAACGTTTCGGACAGCATGCTCTGCCCGTCATCAGGAGTCATGCGAGAGCGAATTTCGGGGGACAAAATTTTGACTCAAAAATCGAACTGTGAGTGCTAGTTGTAAAATCCTGCCACACAGTGAGTGCATTGCATTCTGCGGACGTGCCAGAAATATTTGTGATGCGATCAAGCTATTTGAATAGTTTGTCGGGAATTTGGATTTGGAGATACAGGCCAAAATAGGGCCACTTCATCACATCACTTGGTGTTCCAACTTCCATAAGTTTTGAACTAAAGATGGTGTCAGCATGCGGTTTTCACAGCAGTAAGGCCCAAAAAAAAAAATTTGGTCTCTGGTCAGACCAAAGTTCCGGAATTGACGTGGGGACGCGTCTTTTTTTTTTTTTTTCTTCTTTTTTTCTTTTCTTCAAGCTTGGATTGTACAGACAAGGTGGGTACTATTTTGCTTTTTTGGTGTCCTCATGTACATTGGTGTCCTCCAAAATTTGCCTCGGTGCTCTCGATCATTTGCCATGGTGCAATTTCCCATTCCTTGGTGCTCTTTGGTAAAAAAAATTGAGGAGGTGCGGCAATAGAGGGCGCTGTTGGAGCTACCGCGGAACATTTTTGAAAAAAAAAAAAAGATTGCCGCGCATGATTAAAATCGACGAGCGCGCTGACCAGAGACCGACTTATTTTTTTTTTTGGCCTAATGCTGAGATACTCTTTTCAAATCTGTAATGATAAAACATTTGACCAGGGTCGACAAACGACTCATGTAGCTTGATCGCATCACATTTGTGTATTACCGCTGTGTATATTATGTAATACACACAACATGTAGCATACATTGAATGGGCACAGCTAGAAATATGTCTGCGCATGCCATAAAATGTCTGCCACCTCCGATGTAAACAACCAGGTTTTTTTTGGTCTTTTCTCAAGAACGGTAAGGTTAGTTTCCTATCTACCAGACTTTTGACATAGGATAAGTAAACAATCCAAACCATGAAATTTTCGGGGATTTCAGGCCGTAATGCCTCGTTAAAGGGAATATACATCATTTGCTTTTGCTGTAATTTTCAGAAATGGATGGAATTGGGGGGTTGGAAATATATAGCAAATATAGTTACACTGACTTTTTTGAGGTTTTGGGTTCGAAAATGCTATAAAAACCAAGAAAAACAATTATTTTCCTGTAGTCTGGTTCCCTGACTCCATATAAGAAGAAACAGAGCAGTTTACATACATTGGGGAACTGATATAAGAAGAAACAGAGCAGTTTACATACATTGGGGAATTGTAAGGTCAGGGAACCAGTTTAGCTGGCTTGTACCCGTTCATAGGTGTGTAATCGATTGCAAACAAGTGCGATGGTCAACTGGGGCCAGTATTTAAAAAAAAGCCAGTTTTTTCCAACGCTAGTCGGCCGACCAGCATTGGAAATTGATACAAAAATACCACTTTTCTTGAAAATGACAGTATACCAGGTGCCATGATTTTACAGGATGCTTTACACTGTCATTCACTAACAGTCCAGCAAGGTATTTCAAAATGATTTGGTAGTTTTATTTTTTGATGTTTGCAAATGTTGTATTGTCCCTTTAAATTCAATTTGTGGGAACCCTGCCTAAAACACTGCAGGAATACAAAAGATATGGCTAAACTCAACAACTTGTGTCGAGCACGACCTGCTATACTCACCATGAAGAGAATGCCGGCAATAATGCCGAGCAGCGCCAGGGAGAACAGAGAACGGAAGTGGCCCTTCTTGGGGCTTTTGCGCAGCACCCAGCGCATGATGCCCAGGTTTCGATCGGTGTACGGCGGGTACCTCATGCTGTGTGGGAAAGAATGACCATCAATTTTTCAAAACGCCAATTTTTTTTTTTTTCAAAAATTGCTCAATGAACTGGTTGACTGCACAGACAGGTTCACTGCACCATATTTCATTCATAACTTCTACATTTATTCAGTTAATGTTTTTGAACTAGAGCAGTTCTATGCTCTTCAACATATATGATCTTTTTTCTCAAAGAACGTCCAATCTATATGTTTGATTTATTAAACCTTTAGTCAATGCAGTACCCGAAATCGCCCTGCCTATTACAATGTAGTACAGGATTGTGCGACGCCGCTTGGCATTTCGCGATGTTTTTATTTTGAGTCACAAGCACAAGTTGCCGCTGAGTTTTATTTCATTATACAGTAAACATGGGAGATTTATGTTAATGATAATCTGACGCATTTTCAATATTTTCGATATCATTCCTTAATATCGAACATTTGGATATTTCGATTGCTATCTTCGATATTAACACCAAATATTATGGAATAATCGAGTAGATGCTACCAAGAATTGCTCAACATGTATGTGCTTTTTGTCTGAATTTTCAAAGCAGGATAAGCATGCAGATCCGAGGCTTTCATTGGAGGCTGCTATTTTGAATTAGTACTTTTGTTTTGGTACGCGTACTTGATGCAAAATGATGGAATGGTTACGGATAGCTAAACGATTGCGAAACCCTTCTATTAACTGATCTCTGACTAACCTGAGAAGCTTCTCCATTCCCAGCTGCGCCAGCACGCAGGCCCGTCTGTGGGAGAACATCTCAAAGGAGAAACGACCGTGGTAGCAACCCATGCCGCTCTTTCCTACACCTCCAAACGGTAGCGTTTCACCTAGCAAGAGAAAAACAAATGACTTTGTATGATGCGAATTGAAACCTTCAAGATGTATATTTTTAATCACTTGATGCCGGGATTATTTTTAGCCACAAGACACGCCATTTTTGAAAAAGGAAAACACATTGGCCTCATTTTATGATCAAGTCAAACACCACACATATTGACTCTTGAGAGTCATTTGAACACTATTTGTACAATACTTCTCTCTTTAAATTTTTTTTTTTAACAGGCCGAGGCCTCGCCACGGAGCGATATTTGCTACAACGACAGGCCGTGTACAACGGCCAAGTTCAACACTCGGACAACACACTCATATTTCCAGCCTCGCTCGCTGCGAGCGGGTCGCTGACTGATATTTCCGGCCTCGCTCCCTGCATGTTTATCTGTCATCCGTTCCAAATACCACAAAACATTTGCATGTATACACGTCAGCTGGCACGAACTGTTGAAACCAATGGCAATCGCAAAAACAATTTTAAAAAATTAAAAAAAAAAGAATTTTTTTTTAACTCACAGGCAGCCTGCATCATGAAGTCGTTCGCCACAAAGCTGCCGCTGGATGTCTCCTCGTTGAACCGCTTAATGACCTGCTTGCTGTTGGACATGATGTACATGGTGAGCGGCTTGTCTCTGTGAATCAGGAGAATCGGGAAAAAAAACATAGAAAAATAGATTCAACAAAGAAATTCACAGGAGCGGGATTTGAACCCAGGTCCGCTGGTACACCAAACAAAGCTCTCAAACTGACCTAAACAAGCCTGCCTGGAGTGCCTAGCCTCGTGTCCTGCAGCGTTAAATAGGTGTCTCCTATAAATGATGTCACTTCCTACAGATTGTAACATGCATCAGCATTTTTGGCGTCTTTGAGTAATTGACCTATCACGGTAGCATGACGAAAACGGCCCTCTTAAGAAAGTGGCTCATTTCACGCACCATTTTGGACCTCTGTGGAGAGCCCCTGGGGAGCCCTGAAGTAAACAAAACTCCCCTCCCTGCTCCACAGTCCCAGCGAGATAATCACTTGTGGTTAAATGAACTACCACCTGTTGGCCACACTGCTTTCTGCAACTATACTTTCTGGTGATTGTGTTTTATGCTAGCATAGCAGTAAAAGATCCTTCTCGGCCGTTTATTCACCGATTTTCACAGTTCAACATATAAAACATGTCGACATTTCAGGTACATCATCATGATAATACTTTTAGATTGAATTTAGCAACGAAATAATATGCATGAAATCTCTCAGGCAGAGTGACCTTCGCTCCTTTATGGAACCAATTATAGGATAAGTGCGGCTAAGAGTCTTAATCCCCCAGGGCAAACTCTCCAAATGGTGTGTCCCAACCCGAGTGGCCTATATGGTTGGTCGGGTTGGTCTTAAGAGGAGAGTTCACCTCATGAGAATCACGTCAACGCAGGTTGTGTAATATTGTCCAATTACATGATATACAAATGGACGCGGAACGCGCAAAATCTGAGACAAACAAAACTTATAGTGTACAAAAACTCAATAGGGTAGTCTAAGGGGCGTGGCTAGCTCGCAAACGGCGATAGGTCAATTCTGCAGGTTGTGGGTTCGAGTCCAGCCTGGGGTCATGGTGCGTGTGCCCTTGGGCAAGGCACTTTGGCACTCATTGCTTCTCCCCACCCAGGAGCAAATTGGGTACCTGTGAGGGCAGAGATGGTTATTGTGGTTGATTTTAGCTGCTTTGCCCCGAAATGGCAGCATCCAGCTGTATACTCCCCAGGGAGCTGAGACATGTGAGATGGTCTATGGAATGTTTCAGATCATTGGTCCAGTGAGCCGGGTAATAATGATGTAGCGACTTGAGCACCAATAAACCATTATCATGTTGCGGCCACTTGGATTTTTCCCATTCAAATCAATGTTACCAAAGTGAGGCTGGAAGGAAAAATATTCTGGTTCCTTTTTGCACAAAAAGATAAGCATTCGGTACTGTAATTGGATACAGGGTACATGACTGAAATGGCGGTAGCATGATAAAGGTCTATACTAGTGAATACGTGTGCTTTATACAATAGTATTACAACGATCGTACAGTGCAAAGCACAGTAGGTAGTAGCCAAGCCTTCAAAGCATACAACGTCTCAATTTAACAGTGAATATATTTTGTATTGCTAGGAAAATAACAATTTGAAGACAATTTTTGTTAAAGGAAAAATACAACATTTGCAAACATCAAAAAATAAAACTACCAAATCATTTTGAAATACCTTGCTGGACTGTTAGTGAATGACAGTGTAAAGCATCCTGTAAAATCATGGCACCTGGTATACTGTCATTTTCAAGAAAAGTGGTATTTTTGTATTAATTTCCAACGCTGGTTGGCCGACCAGCGTTGGAAAAAAACTGGCTTTTTTTCAAATACTGGCCCCAATTGACCATCGCACTTGTTTGCAATCGATTACACACCTATGAACGGGTACAAGCCAGCTAGACTGGTTCCCTGACCTTACAATTCCCCAATGTATGTAAACTGCTCTGTTTCTTCTTATATGGAGTCAGGGAACCAGACTACAGGAAAACGATTGTTTTTCTTGGTTTTTATAGCATTTTCGAACCCAAAACCTCAAAAAAGTCAGTGTAACTATATTTGCTATATATTTCCAACCCCTCAATTCCACCCATTTCTGAAAATTACAGCAAAAGCAGATGATGTATATTCCCTTTAAAGCTATAGTCTATCATTTGTAATTAGTGCATTTTGTTTGTTTGAAGCAACAAAAGTGTTCAAAATCTAATGAAGGATACTGAGCAACTAACCTGATGAAGTTTCAGCTAAGCTTCAGCTGTACATTCCGAGAAAAGCAGCATTCTTAGATCTCAATTTCAAATCAAAAGTTACTGAATCATGTTTTGAATTGTTTTGAATTGCAACTATACGCGACGTCGCGCACTGATCCGACGAATTATAACAACTTCGCACGTGTGTGCGTTGTTCCAATACTTGTGCGCGCTGCACTGAATAACAAAACGAACTACTAATTTAAATTTTCCTACGGTGCTTCTTAAGAATCACGTTGGAAATGCCTTCTTTCGTTGATTACTTCAAAATGACAGCTTCCCAGAAAGAATAATTTCACAGGGAGTTTAGTTCCCTTACTGTCTTTCAACCAAGTTTGTTTTTCAACAGTAATTACGCCAGTTACTTTTCGGATGGCTGCAAATGATGGACTATAGCTTTAAGGGGGGGGGGATGAAACTTGAAAATGTGACAGATAGTGTACAAGGAACAGGCATCTCACCTGCTATTGATGAAGTCTATGGCTTTGTCCACACTCTCCACGTTGAAAATTGGCATGACGGGGCCGAAGATCTGTCAAAAGTGCAAAAAGAAAACAGAGATGAAACTGGCCTTGGCAAAAAAATTGGACCTTGGGTCTGAGCTGCCACAGCGTCGTGCAGTGCAGTGCAGCACATCAACGTGGGACCCAGTGAATTTTTCCATGTCATAAGTCAGTATTAAACCTTTTCTCCAGCCGGAAAAGGATCTGATCAGCGTTGGTCTAGGTGTTTTACACTTGTGCATTTTTTTACGTGCCGTTTTCATAGACTTTTCATTGACTTTTTTGGAAATTAAAATGAAAAAAAAAAAACATTTTGTGGAAAAATCGCTAAATAATCATTTTTGTGGGAGCGTTAAACAATCTGAAATTTCATTGGAAAAGTAAAAAAAAATCTGATTTCAGATTAAAATCTGAAAAGTTTCATCTCTGAGAAAAAAATAAGCACACAAAAAATACTTCTTCACGGTTAAACCAATTGTTAAAACGTATCTCTTTTTAGTACAATTCATGTAGATGAAGTACATAATGGGCTATTTAGATCTCTGATATCGTTTCGGTTTGTGGTAACACCATGTGGTAATAACTACTGCTTAGAAGATATTAGTTCTGAAAAGAACTTGTCCTGCTTATTATCAACTTTGCTAAGTAGTTTTTTGTTCTGATAAGAACAGTCCTGCTGTAAGTTCTAAACGAACTTGTCTTTGAACTTACAGCAGGACTGTTCTTATCAGAACTAAAAACTACTTAGCAAAGTTGATAATAAGCAGGACAAGTTCTTTTCAGAACTAATATCTTCTAAGCATTAGTTATTACCACATGGTGTTACCGCAAAACCGAAACGATACCGATACCCCACCATGCAAAGCCTCAAATCTTAGATCTCTGATGTTGACGCCACGTTGCTATGGTTACAGTACTGACCTCCTCCTGCATGGCCGGCTCATCTTCCTTGACGTCGACCAGAATGGTGGGAGCCACGTAGAGCTGGGATGCATCACCGTCACCCCCGACGGCAACCTTGCCAGACTTGGTCAGACTCATCACGCGCCTGGGAGAAAAAGAACAAGAAGCAGCATTCACAATTGTTGAGTGACTCATGAATCTTAGAGTCATCTCATCATACAGGGTGCCCTGGAGTGAAGTAATCAGCATTGTTAAAGGGGCACTAGGTCCTGAAATCCCCCAAAATTCCATGTTTTGGATTGTTTACTTAGCCTATTTCAAACATCTGGTTGAAAGGAAACCAACCTAATGTCTTACCGTTCCCGAGAAAAGACGAAAAAAAAACCACAATTGTTTACATTGGACACGACGGAGTACGAATACGTTTTTCGTGTCGTTCTCAGTGTACGATATACACATTGTGTGTCGCGGGAACAGCGGTGACCAATCACCAATGCAAAAAAAATATGGTTTCTTCAACGTCCGCAAAAGGCGAACCTCTTACAAATGAAATCACAACTAGCATCCAAACAGCTCAAATTTATGGGGTCGCAAAAGTGGACCCCGAAAATCGTTCTCGCACGCATAATACAGGAATAGCACAAAAACGCCCAGTTTTGAAAGGATAGTTGTGTGGATGTTTATATCCTACTTTTAAATGTTCTTTCCGATTAACATCATCTCGTTCAAAGCGCATTTTGTAGCCCAATTGGGCTGTTCCAGGACCTAGTGTCCCTTTAACAAATTGATGAAATCACTGACACAGGCCAAATAAAATTTTAAAAATTGACACACTTACTGGTAATGCCTGTCGTTAATGATGCGTGCGTAGTCTGGAGAATTCTTTGGATTCTGAGAATGGATTGCAAGAAAGAAATTTTGTTTACGTTGCGTCACTGACTTAAACTGACCTCAACTAGGCTTGTCACTACCTTGCACAGTGGTCTTACAGTAAAGTGGCTTGCCCAAGGACACAATAAAAATGGCCAGCGGCACGATTCAAGCCCCTGACCCTCTGATCATGAGCCACAAACCACAATATTAAACCAAAATATCGTACAGAAGGAAAAGTAGTTCAAATGACCAAGAAGGAAGGAAAAAGGTTTCACCTCGCCGTAGAACTTTTTGATCGTCTTGGACATAGCAGCGACGAGCTTATCGTTGAGGGAGGGTTTGCAGATGACATAGTCAGGTGCAATGCAAGTCTGTCCACTGTTCATGAGTTTGGCCCACATGATGCGATTGGCAGTGATCTCCATGTCCACACCCTCATCGACAAAGCACGGGCTGATTACAGAAAAAAATAGATGAGACACATATCATGCACAGTGGAACGCCGCTATAACGAACATCGTGGGATCCAAAGAAAGTGTTCGTAATAACGATCGTTCGGTATAGCGATTTTGAACCGTTGGTACCCTCTTTTGACAAATATTGAAGTCACTGAACTGGCATCTCTCACATCCCGCGGTTTTATTCTTTTTTACTCCTTGGGGAAATAAAAGCCATCTATCTCTCAACATTCAAGCACGATGTAACCACGGGTGGTTTGATGTACGGGAATTAAAAGTGGCCCAAACAGTGTTTAAAACGCGTACAACCGGTAGGTTTTTTGTTAATCTGTTGACTTTTTTTAACAACGATGTTCGGTACATTTTGTACATTAAAACCGGAAGCCAAGGATGATGTTTGGTATAGCAGAATGTTCGGTATAGCAGTGTTTGGTATAGCGACGTTCCACTGTACATGGACTCTACAAGATTAATGCTCATGGTGGGAAGTCAATATTCCATCAAATTTCATTTTAGTTCTACAGGTTATCCCACAAAGAACCAAACAGTCGAAAACCAATTAACAAAGGTATATTGCATGTGGGTTTTGGAATATTTTCAAATTACCTCTTAAAGTCAGATAACCAATCTACCATACAAGCTTTATTTCATTCAAATCGATGCATTGGAACAAACGCAATGCTTCGTCGAATCAAGGATTGAAAATCGTCTTGGACCACTTTCCTTGAAAGTGAGAAAGCGCAGTTAGAGAAACACAACAGACTTATTTCCTCTGTTCAAAAGTAACGTATGACTTATTCTACCGGCTTCAATCTGTAAACTTGATAAATAAAAAAGTGGCCCAAGTAATTTTTCAAGTCTTACTGTATCTTTTGAACAAAACATTCTCATGAAACCAAATATATAGCATTTGGAAGACCAATTATTCGACTCGGCAATACTTTAGACACGATTTTGAATACTACCCGTACTTTTCTGAAAACATGCCTGATACGACTGTTAGGGTTTTTGTGGGACAACCTGTACAAACACGCACACGACTTCGAAATGCCTGCGTTAACCCCAACTCCCTAGCATAATTTACTAGGAACCATACCCATCCTGGCAAATTCCAACACCCACATGGGAAATCGTACACACGCTGTTGGACTTAGTTTCTGGAGGTATGCCAAACCAAATGTAAAAGACCATCAGTTCAGGGGTACTGGACCCATTCTAACAGATTTCAACAAAACCTGCTGTTGGACGCTGATGGGTTGAGTTCGATTAGGGAGGGAATGTACAACATTTGCTTTTGCTGCAATTTTCAGAAATAAATGGATTTGGAGGATTAATATGTAATAAAAAATATTGGTAAGCTGACTTGTTTCACGTTTTGGGCTTGTAGATGCTGGAAAAACCAAGAAAACCTATCATGTTCTTGTAGTCTGGTTCCCTGACCCCACTTAAGATGAAACGGAGAAATTAATACACTTTGGGGAATTGTAAGGTCAGATAATCAGTCTAGCAGGCTTGTACCCCTTCAGAGGTGTGTAATCAATTGCAAAGAAAAGTCAGAATAACTAAATATGAAAAATTAAGAACAACTTTTGAAAAAAAAGCCAGTTTTCTCCAACGCTGGTCGGCCGACCAGCGTTGGAAAAATACAGGTTTTCTTGAAAATGTCAGCACACCAGGAGCCACGATTTAAAGGATGCTTTAGACTGTCAGTCCCTAACAATTCAGAAAGGTATTTCGTGATAATTTGATCATTTCGTTGTTTGATGTTTGCAAATGTTGTATTTTCCCTTTAAGGATGGCTTCAAAGTATCAAAGTGTGGGGGAATGAGAAGCTAGCGCTCTAGTAATTTAATATAGCTCTATGATCTGCACCTTTTGCCCCCGAGCTCAAGGGACACGGGAGTCAGATGTTTGGCCGCGGCTTCCATGACGATCCGGCCGATGTTGGCGCTGCCCGTGTACAAGATGTGATCAAACTTCTCCTTCAGAAGGGCAGTGGTGATTGGTACTCCGCCGTTGACGATTTGAACACAATCCTGCACATTCGAAAGCGATTACCAGGGAGCTATTTTCACTGCAAAATCCTCTGTTCCAAATTAATATGTATTAAGCCAAGTAAAATCAAAAAGTAATTTCTCATATGGCCATTTTTTTTCAAAAGAAGGGGGGGGGACACTCCCCTCCCCCTTTTTCCCCGAAGATGGTGGACTTTCCAAGATAGCAGATGGATTCTTCAATTTTCTCGACTATGTTGCCGTTATAAAATTTGTATCTAATGGACTAGGAGCCACGATCCTTTCTACTACGCTACAACTTTGTTTCGAAACAAATAAAAAGACAATATACAAGTATTGACAATATATATGTTGGAAATGTATGAATTAAAAAAAACAAGGCAAGAAGTGGGTTGGTTTGTTTTTCTACATGGACAAATGTCGACTACTTAAAGGGAAGATACAACATTTGCAAACATCACAAAACGAAATGATCAAATTATCACGAAATACCTTACTGAATTGTTAGGGACTGACATTCTAAAGCATCCTTTAAAATTTTAAAATCGTGGCCCCCGGTGTGCTGACATTTTGAAGAAAAACTGTATTTGTCCAACGCTGGTCGGCCGACCAGTGTTGGAGAAAACTGGCTTTTTTCCAACAACTGTTCCTAATTTTTCATATTTAGTTATTCTGACTTTTCTTTGCAATTGAATACACACCTATCAAGGGGTACAAGCCTGCTAGACTGATTCTCTGACCTTACAATTCCCCAAAGTGAATTAATTGCTCCGTTTCATCTTAAGTGGGGTCAGAGAACCAGACTACAAGAACATGGTAGGTTTTCTTGGTTTTTCCACAATCTACAAGCCCAAAACGTGAAACAGGTCAAGGTCAGTTTAACAATATTTTCTCTAACATACTAATCCTCCAAATCCATTTGTTTCTGAAATTTCCAGCAAAAGCAAATGTTGTACATTCCCTTTAAAAAAAATTGGCCTCCCAAGGTGATCCACGGCGAGTTTAAAATGGAATGCTTCATGGATCACCGAGGGAGGCTAGTTTTACTACACCACAAGTTGAAGCAGTCAATATTTGTTTTAGAACACCTCACCCACAGATTCTGCTTGATATTAAGCGATAACTGATTAATTTAAAGTTCAGTTTAAATGTTCCTTAAATTTAATATGAAATTAGTTTGAACATTTACTTGCACTTTTCCAAACTACCCCTTCACGAAATGTTTGAACCCAGCTCTGTAACTCTTAAGCACAAGGAAACAATACGCGCAACGTGTTAGGCGAGCCATCAGATAACAGACCGTTCGGGTACCGGGTCCGGTATGCTAATTTCTTTCACCCCAATCGGTACGAAGCCAGAAGCCACCCGGTCACTGAAGCGTGACGCCCCAATCGGTCCAAACTGGTGACTCAGGGTTTCACAATAGGCAACATAAATTGAAGTCTGGCCATTGTTGGAGGATTATTCAGCCCACTGGGGATTACCAGCGGCAACTTCTATGAAGCTCATTACAGTCATTGTTGCCTACGGAGGATTAGCGCGTCGCAAATTGGTTCCTTTGTGATGAGCCAGAGCCATGGTGCAGAAGCCTGGTGGAGTTAATCCAGGCCGATCGGTTCCATGCAAGGTCCCAATCCCTTCATCATACTGGGCGGGCTCAACCCCGAACGGTCCGGGGAGGGATTCTAATTTGAGGGCTCGCCTTACCAGTATGCATGTGCACACAATACCGGTTGCTACATTGGTTGCTAAAGTAGTAGTTTTTCAGCCGTTGTATAGTTTTTTGGCCATGCACAGCAAGATGGTGAAAATAGAGAATGCCATGTGACTTGCTCTCGGCCAATCAAGATACAGAATCTGTGCCAAGTGAGATGCTATAAAATGTAGTATACTGTATGCAGTATGACTAATGTATCTAACTGATTATGACTAATTAATGTAAGTGGACTTACCGCATCCAGGTATTGAGGTATGATCTTAGCCAGCGCCTCGGCAAATGCAGGGGCAAGCTCCGAGGGCTTGATGATGACGGTATTACCTGAAGCATCACGGAGAAGGAAGCAAACATCATTAACTCTTTCGCTATGGAATTTAATTTACCTATTTTGTCCCAACTGGACGTAATAAATCGCTGGAAATTCCGCCGAGCGTCGATGTGGGCGCCGCCATCTTTAAATGTATCTCTGTAAACAAACTGCTCACAATAACCTGCAGCAGACCCCGGCCAGACGGAGAGCCGCTGGCAGCGGCTCAAACTAGGGTCAGAGGTTATACGATATAAATTATGTAGATAAGGCACACGTCATGGGGATACCCTGTTTATTCACAGTGGCGTCACCGAGCTGCTGCCAGCGGCTTTCCGTACGACCTCTACAATTTGTGTGTGCCGCTGTCAGCGACTCGCCGTAGCGAAAGAGTTAAGGACTCACTGCACAACAGTGCTTAGATAAAAAAAATATGTACATAAAGCAACTGTGGTCAACTGGAAGATGAACATGTAAAGACGAGGGCCCAATTTCACAGCGCTGCTAAGCACAAAATTTTGCTTAGCACAAAAAAGTCTGGCTTATAAAAGCAGGTTACCAGCCAAAACTCCATGTGGTTTTCATGCTAAGCAATTAACAGCCGAATACTAATCACGAGCAATACACTTCACATGGTGTTTTGGCTGGTAACCTGCTTTTCTAAGACAGGCTTTTATTGTGCCAAGCAAATTATTTTGCTTAGCAGCGCTGTGAAATTGGCCCCTGGCATGCCTGGCAGTAGATACGGGGTGGTAAACTGGAAGGGGTGCTAATATGTAACTATAGCACCTATGAGTGGATATAAGGTCAACTGGACGGGTGCTCATGCTGCTATAGCACCTATAAGTGGATATACATGTATGGTCAAGTGGAGGGGTGGTAATATATTACTATAGCACCTATGAGTGGATCTGTTCAACTGGGAGGGGTGTTAATATGCTGCTATGGCACCTACCTTTATAAAAGTGGATATATGGTCAACTGGAGGGATGCTAATATGCTACTATAACACCTATGAGTGGTTCTGGTCAACTGGAAGGGATGTTAATATGCTGCTATGGCACCTATATTAGTGGATATATGGTCAACTTGAAGGGGTACTAAGTTACTAAAATGATGCTATGGCAATTATGACTAGATGTACTGTATTGTCAACTATGGCACCTGCATATCAGTGGATGTACTGTCACCTGGAAAGGGTTCTCACCTGCCACTAGAGCACCTGTTTGTGAATGCATGGCCACCTATGGCACCTGCATATCAGTGGATGTACTGTCACCTGGAAGGGGTTCTCACCTGCCGCTAGAGCACCTATTTGTGAATGCATGGCCAACTATGGCACCTGCATATCAGTGGATGTACTGTCACCTGGAAGGGGTTCTCACCTGCTATGGCACCTATTTGTGAATGCATGGTACATGTAACCTATGGCACCTGCATGGTCTACTGGAAGGGGTTCACACCTGCCGCTAGAGCACTTATTTGTGAATGTATGGTCACCTATGGCACCTGCATATCAGTGGATGTACTGTCACCTGGAAAGGCTACTCAGCTGCTATGGCACCTATTTGTGAATGCATGGTACATGTAACCTATGGCACCTGCATGGTCTACTGGAAGGGGTTCACACCTGCCGCTAGAGCACCTATTTGTGAATGCATGGCCAACTATGGCACCTGCATATCAGTGGATGTACTGTCACCTGGAAAGGCTACTCACCTGCTGCTATGGCACCTATAAGTGGATGTACGGTCAATTGCATGGGGTAGTTCCACGCCCCAATGATCAGCACGGTTCCAAACGGCTGATACTGAATGTATGCCGGAACCCCAGTCATGGCCAAGCCCTTTTCAACCTGAACAAAGGGCACAAAATTGTTTACTTTTAGAGCCATTAATATCAATGAAGTTCGTTAACTGGGTATTATAACACCGCACCAACAGATTCTGTGTCTTGATTGGCCGAGAGCGAGTCACATGTTACTTTCTAATTTTGCTATCTTTCTGTGAACGGCCAAATGTACTATACCCATAGCAACCAAAGTACTATACCATTAGCAACCAAAGTACTATTTCCACGGCGCGGTATTTGTGTGCAAATGGATGCTGGTGTTCGGGTTGCGCGTTGTGCGTAGCGCGTATTGTTCCAAAGAGAGCGCGCAGCAGAGTTGGGTTCAAACATTTCGTGAAGGGGTAGTTTCAAAGAGAGAAATACATTTTCCACCAATTTTGTATTGAAATTGGAGTTTATTTCAACTGTGTTTAAATTAAATAATTTAAAATATTAAAATCAAGCAGAATCTGTGGGTGAAGTGTTATAAAACAAATATTGAATGTTTTATCTTGTGGTGAAGTAAAACTAGCCTCCCTCGGTGATCCATGGAGCATTCTATTTTCCCGAGGCGAATGTCCATGGATCACCTCGGGAGGCTAGTTTTACTACACCACTCGAAGCATTCAATATTTGTATACCATTACACCCCTCTCAAACGACGTCACTTCCTATAGATTGTCACTTGCAGCGGCATTTTGGGTTCAGTTTGTGGTGTCCGCGACGATTCGTTTCAATCTTCTGTTCTGTTCAAGTTCTGTGGACGCTAGGCGTACGGAGACAATGGGTTCACGGGTCTAGCTAAAGACGGCAAACTCTGTAGGTGGACTGCAACTGCGTATTTTACGCAGTCAAGCACGCATTGCGCAGTGTTGAAAAGTTCCAAAAACGCGCGCTTGTTGCTCAAAATGTGTTCGAAATCCGACGCAGCCGATGCGCGTTATGCAAGTTGACGCTCAAAATGCCAATGCACGTGGCTGGTCTGTAGGAAATGACATCATTTGAGAGAGACCTTTAACTCTCTCTTTGTGACTTTTGTGAGAGGGTACTTCGGCAAAGAACCCGTTCCTATACTTACAGCCTGTGGCTTGGTCCAATCGTCCAAATGGTTGAGCACATTGATGATTTCATTCTTGGAAAAGTCAACCTCGCTGGTGATAGCCTCAAATTTATGCTGCAAAAACAGAATACATCATTCGGTGTCATTAGTCTGGTGGCTGACTATGGAGAAATGTGTAGTAAACAGAGACTAGTTCCCAGTTCATGCCACACGTTTCTTTTGGCACAGTTGATTGAAGCAGTACTGAAGCGGTGTTGGACTGGTTGTTTCAAGTGCCAGTCTTTTTCCTGTATTGCATGTTTTCAATACCTTAAGCTTTTTGGGACGAGCAGTTACCCTGCTACATGTAAATGCAACAAAATCCAGAACACAGCTGAATGACTGCCATGCTAAATGCAACCAAGTGCAACCAAATGCAACAGTGGATTATGTCACATTGTGTAGTGAACTCATCACACAAGATCCTTGGCACTATGAGCAGTTACCCTGCTAAATGCAACAAAATCCAGCCCAGTTGAATAAGAGCCATGCTTAATGCAACCAAGTGCAAAAGTGGATTCTGTCGATCCTTGGCACTTTGAGCAGTTACCCTGCTAAATGCAACAAAGTCCAGAACACAGCTGAATGAGAACCATGCTAAATGCAACCAAATGCAACAGTGGATTATGTTGCATGGTGCAGTGAACTCGTTACACGGGATCATTGGCACTATGAGCAGTTACCCTGCTAAATGCAACAAGATGCAACAAAGCATGGGATTTGAGTTGACTGCTAAATGGCAATGGTATGCAACAACTGTTTACCACTGTTGCTTTCTGTTGCATTTAGAATGGTTAGGGTTCAGCAGGCCATGGTAGTGGCCCCAAGACAGAGTGAGTAACAGTGTAGTTTTGGACGCCTCGAGTCCGTTCAAAAATTATATTTTGCAAATGATCGTCAATTCCAATATGACTAGTACTCGTACTCGTATTCGGATTTGTCTTCATGGAAGGGGACCTAAAATACCCTTTTACCACCGAGTGACGAGGACAAACCTTGCGTAGATCTTTGTGTAAAGCATCCACAAAGTCCTGTTCCCTCTCAGTGACCATGCGGAGTAAATCCTGCAGCATCTTCCTGCGTCGGGGGACGGGCCTGGTCTTGTCGGCTCGGAAGGCATCCCGGGCCCTTTTCACGATCTGAAATTAAGGACCACACGGAAGTGAATTTGATGTCAGATGCCAGTAAATATTTCTGCAATTGTGTGAGTATATTGTTATCGCTGCCTTTACTGATTATGCAATCATGCTAAAGGAGTCGTTTGTCGGGAATTTTCATTTGGAGATTCAGGCCAAAATAGGACCACTTCATCACATCTCTTGGTGTTCCGACTTCCATAATTTTTGAACTAAAGATGGTACCAGCATGCGGTTTCCACAGCAGCAATGCTGAGATTGTGCTCTTTTCAAATCGTTTGTCTGGAATTTTCATTTGGAGATTCAGGCCAAAATAGGACCACTTCATCACATTTCTTGGTGTTCTGACTTCCATAACTTTTGAACTAAAGATGGTACCAGCATGCGGTTTCCACAGCAGCAATGCTGAGATTGTGCTCTTTTTTTAAATCGTTTGTCGGGAATTTTCATTTGGAGATTCAGGCCAAAATACGACCATTTCATCACATCTCTTGGTGTTCCCACTTCCATAATTTTTGAACTAAAGATGGTACCAGCATGCGGTTTTCACAGCAGCAATGCTGAGATTGTGCTCTTTTCAAATCTGTAATACAAAAAATTGACCAGGGTCGACAAACGACTCATTTAGCTTGATCGCATCACACATACATGTACACATATGCGCTGACTTACGGAGTAAACAAACTTAATTAGCCGCCATCATTAATAATGAGCCGGATGGGAATTTTCCCGTTTTTCTCCCAAAAGGTTTTTTTCACGGGCTGTTCGCCCCTCCCGTAATCAGCGAATGTATAGAAACACATGTATATTTTACTGATGTCACAAGAAATTTCCAAGTTCTTCGTGTAAACTTAAATCACCTTAGCAAATGTTGTTTTAAACTGTATACAAAAAACTGTGTTTCTTTTATGTACAATACTGATAATACTTGCTTTGCAATCATGCAATAAATAATGAAAGGTTTGCGGAAACACCATGTGCGAATAATTTCTCAACTAAGAGAATGGTTCCGAAAAGAACCAGAGGTATAAACTCGACGTTCCGGTCAGTATGCTCTGACCGTCTTCAGGAGGACGGTCAGAGCATACTGACCGGAACGTCGAGTTTATACCTCTGGTTCTTTTCGGAACCATTCTCTTAGTTGAGAAATTATTCGCACATGGTGTTTCCGCAAACCTTTCATTATTTAGTATCTCCACCATGCAAAGCCTCAAATCTTACTAATCATGCAATAATCTCATGCCCCGTTCTATATGGCCACACACTGGAGTAAACTCCGTGGTCAAGGCCATACCCATAAAGCTCAAAACGTTAGGGAAATCATGGCATTTTTTTCTTCTGGGAATCACTCTGCCTGAAAACTCAGCGTGAGGGTTCACTTACCCAAGCATCCCGCTTTTTGAGCAAAATTAGGTTCCTTTTGGTGAAATTTGTCTCTTAACTTGGGATGGCCATGGGCATCAATCGGTGGGGGACGGTGGGGGGGAGGGAGAGAAAAGTCCCCCCACTTTTTAAACTACGGGAAAGTCCTAATTCTGGTGAAAAAGTGAGATGCTTGGGTAAATGAACCCGCATGCCGAGTATTAGGTCAACACTTACTGCAGACGCATTCATCTTTAGATCTTCCACGATGTACAAGCAACCTCTGGTTCACCCAAAAAATCTGCAACAAAAACCCAGTTCACAAATTACAATCATCCAAGACTTACAATGATCCTAGACCCAGTAACTGAGGTGCTAAAACTATTTTTTTTTCTTCAAATTTTGTCTTTGGTCGGTCTAGTACGTCCGAACAAAGACAAAATTGGGGAAAAAAAGGAGTGGTATACAATAATTCAAGACTTACAATGATGTAAAGTGTCACCTAATAATGTTGTGCAAACCTGACCCGAAACCGACTCGACCCGAAACCGACTTTGGGTCGGGTTGGTTTGTCCATCATTTTAGTCGGGTCGGGTCACTTTCGGTTTTGCGTCGGGTCGGTTAAGCTATTTTGGAAAACCAGAAATAAACTAAAATAAACCAATAATATTAAAGTAAAGCACTGCAAGTTGACATGTTGATTTATTCGGCCAAGCACGCGCGCGTGCAAGCGTTTACACAATGCACACGCGCGCGCGGTTGCTATGAATTGGTCGGTTCAGTGCGCCACATCGTATAGCTGCAATCGGCTCAGTGAGAACGTGTCTCAGTCCTTCTGATTTGAGGCGTGCGATCACACCCCCACGCCATCACACACCTTAAAGCTTCCCGAGAAGTGCGAAAAATCACACGCCTGAATCCCTCAGTACAGCACACCTAGGCATACATTTGCAGCATAATTGTACTTCATAATTTGTGAAAAATAAAGTACGTCAGTGAAGAGAAAAATGGCTTTACTGTGAACCAAGATGAAATTGAATATCATGAAATAATTTCTCAGCTTGGACCATAGAATCACACACCTAGGAAAATCACTCGCCTAGAAAATCACACGCCTAGAAAAATCACACACCTAAAAAATCCAGGTGTGCCTTTTTCCACACACCTGTGATTTTCAAATCAAAAGGACTGGTGTCTCAGACGCTGAATTCAGGCCCAATTCAAAACATGACTCAGCAACTTTTGATTTGAAATCGAGATCCTAGTAGTAGTACTAGAAATGCTGTTTTTCTTGAAATAGTACACAGCTGAAGCCGAGCTGAAACTTCATCAGGTTAGCTGTTCAGCACCGTTTGCTAGATTTTGAGCTCTTTTGTTGCTTCAACCGAAAATTAATGCACACATTTCAAATGACGAACGCTACCTTACACACCGCAGACCGAGTCGACCGTTCGTGCACTACGCCGGATCAGTAAAGACCCACTACAAAATGTTGCGGAGGTTGTTTGCGCAACAATGAACGGGTACAAAGTTCATCGCTCCCAAGATCTGCGCTTCTTTCGTCAATTTACGCAACACTGTATCTTGATCCTACCTGATAATGTGTACTGTGCGTCTACTGTGTATTGATTGTGTACTTAATAATACAATCAAAGGAAAAGGTAGGACAAAGTTACCTTGCAATCTGCGGTGGAGCTCGCCGATGTTGACAGTCTACCCGGCCGTCGACGCGTGTCATGTGAGTCAACTTTGACCTACCTAAAATATGTTTTACGGTGCAGCGCACGAGCGCCACCATTGCTCGTTTTGGATAAGGACAATGTTGCCACCATTTCAGTCATGTTCCCTGTATCCAATAACAGTACCAAAATAATGTGTTTTTGTGCAAAAAGGAACCAGACTATTTTCCTTCCAGCCTCGCTTTGATTATGTTGATTTTAAAATACTCCGAAATCTCACAGGTATTTTATTAAGCAGCACAGAAAAATGATGATCAACACGTCATCTTTCATTTTCATTTCACTTTTTAGTGGGTTGACCATTGACTTTTCGAGAATTCTCACTGTAAAGACGACCCCCATTTTCACCCAAAGCGGAAAAGTAGTCATCTTGAAAAATGATCGCTCCACAACATGGCAAAACAGCGCCACTTTCAAGGCCAATTGCATCAAAAATGCATAATTGAAAGCCAGGCCAGAGGTTAATTATTACCATATCTCTTCAATTCCCCAATTTTATGGCTCTCGGAACTCTCTAATATAGATAACATTTGACAAATGATACAAGATCTACACATATTTTTTGATTTTGAAAATTCTTTTATTGACAGGTATTACAGTAGACAATTTGGAACAAATTACCGGACATCGTGGTTCACAAAATTACTCTGAAGTAGCATGCTCCGAAAAAAATTACAGAAAAAATTGACAAGTTCACAATTTTGTTTTACAACCAAATTCATATTTACCAAATAAACCTGTATTCAGATTGAAAAGCATTTTGCCTGGCCCTATATTAAGAAAAAAAGGATGGCATTTTTGGCAACAACGGCCGAGAAAAAATATGCAAAAAAATTGTTTCAAATTAAAAAAATTATACTCCACTCAAAACGATGGTAATTATTTGTAATTATGGTGTGTTTGCGCTGCTATAACAACGCATTATTTCACCACTTGAAACTTGTAAAATTGGAAGGGAAAAAATGGGGCCGGGAGGGGAGAATATGGCCTCCAAACAGAAGCTAAGGAAAAGTCCAATATGGCCAATAACTGAATTTAATCTCCGGTTTTCTTGGTATGAAACAACTGAGAATATTTCTATTCCCACTGGATAGATGCCAGTCTTAACAGGTTACTCCCAGCTAGTGCTGGCAAGCATTCGCACTCCTGGGTGGAGAAAGGCAAATGGAGGCGAAGTGGCTTGCCCAAGGACATGTGACCAGCGGCTGGATTGGAACCTCTGCTATGATCCACTGATCATATGAGTCGCAAAGCCTAACCATGCACTATTAGGTCGCACACTCCCCACCCCAAAAAGTAGGGAAACCAAAGTTAGTTTTGCTGGTCCAAAAGATGGCAAGCCTAGAGTCCTCTTGGTACCTGACTGGCCGACTCCCCGGCTGACTGCCTCCCCGACTGCCAAGTGTGAAATGATACTACATTCTGACTGTCACTGGTGACTTTCACTAGTCTGGGAGCAGTTTGTAAGGCTGGCCTTTCGCTCGTAGCCTAGCCCCAGCCCTGCAAACAGGACGCTGGGATACTCTGATGAATTCATGCTCTGATTGGTTGGATTTTGCGTGACCAGTGACCTGCGCGTCATCAAGGTCATGACTCTGCAAGGTTTGAAACGGCCGTTAAGACTGATTCAATACTCCTTTATTCCAGTCTAGAGATGTTTTTGTCTCGTTGAAAAGCGTAATAATGTAGGAAATTCTGTAAAAGTTATCTGTGTTGTAAATTTACAATAGACCGCTTGCAGATACGTTCGATAATCGACGCGAGAAGGCGCGCGACGCCATGTTGTGGGACAGGCGTATATCTATCCAGGCAGATTTTGTCCCATAACATGGCATCGTGCACCTTCGCGCGTCAATTATCGATCGCGTCTGCAAGCGGTCTATTCCCGTCACTCGCTCAGGCTCCGCTTCGAATCACGAACGGTCGGATTGCATTATGCGACACTCAAAATTTGGTCCGCATGGTCCGCAATGAAACAGAAATCACATCCGGTATGGAATGGGCGCCATTCTATAGGAAGTTTTCGGATAGCATTTGCGCACATTGTCTAACTGCGGTCTTGAACAGCTGCAGCCAGATGCTTTATACATAGGTCATAGGCCACTTCCTTCACAAGATTCTGTGAAGCTCATCAGAGTATCCCAGCGTCCTGTTTGCAGGGCGGGGGGTACGAGCGAAGGCTGGCCTATTCATGTAGGCTAGTACACCACAATAGTCTGGTGCCACTAATTGTTTCATGTATGTATACTTTCATGATACATGTGTGAGGCAAGTCCAGTCCCCATATGAACAGAGAAAGTGAATTTTGCATTGCCACCACCTTTAACACCACTACATCTATTTTACAAACCGTCTAGCCATTCTGATCCGATTAATTAGAATTTTGTGCACCCTAGCTGGGGTCTGGCACTAAGCCTGCTCATGTCTTGATTTACTTGGCCTTTTAATTACATTTACAAATGTAGCATCAGAGCAAGGGCGGATCCGGGGGGGGGGAGGGGGGGGGGGGCAAAGGGGGCCATGGGGCCCCCCCCCCCAAAAAAAAACGAAACCAATTTTTTTTTTAATGTGACATCGCAATAAAGGCAGGCAATGAGTACAACACCATCTTTTCCTCAAAAAAACATTGGTTAAAGTGGTCAGAAATTGCCTCAGATCGCACCACAGAGCATCTAGAATCCAAAAATTTTGTTGACCCATTTTTTGAGGGGACCAATTTTTTTTTGGCCCCCCCCCCCAAATTGTGTTCTGGATCCGCCCTTGCAACAGAGAAGCTGTATTTTTTACAACAGGAAGCTAGATGAATATTGCAATAAGGAGCAGATAAAGATGAGGTTTTCAATATAAATTTTTAAAAAAAATCAGAGACACATCAATGAGAATGTTTAAAGGGAATTTACAACATTTGCAAACAGAAAAAAAACTACCAACTAATTATGAAATACCTCACTGGGCTGTTATAGTGAATGACAGTCTAAAGCATCCTGTGACATCATAGCACCTGGTGTGCTGACATTTTCAAGAAAAGTGGTATATTTGTATCACTTTCCCACGCAAAAACATGGCTTTTTTTCAAATACTGCCCCCGAATTCACCATTTAGTTCATATTTTATGCAATCGATTGCACAAACATTAACGGGTACAAGCCAGCTAGACTGGTTCCCTGACCTTACAATTCCCTGGTGTCTATAAATTGCTCCGTTTCATCTTAAGTGGGGTCAGGGAACCAGACTACAAGAACATGAATGGTTTTTTCAGCATCTACGAACATAAAACTTCAAACAAGTCAGTGTAACAATATTTGGTATAAAATACAAACCCCCTAAATCCATCCATTTCTGAAAATTACAGCAAAATCAAATGTTGTATATTCCCTTTAAAAAGTATGGTTAAGGCTTTGCTTTCTACATATAACTACACATTTTTTTTTTATGTTGACACGTTATTTCTTGTTTAACTCACAAAATACAATTTTTAGTGGACACAGAGGAAAAGTTTCACGAACACAATGTACAACCATAAAATACCACGAAAACAGGGGAAAAAATTGAAAAAGTGTGATAAGTCCTACAATTCAATTACATGTATAAGTCTCCATTTTTGTACATTTTGTTTTTATTTTACATTATCTGGGCTACGTTATGAAATGAGAGTAAAAAGAACAGCACTCGGAAAATAGGACTACATACTAAGTACAGGTAGCTATCTGTGCCACTGGCAAAAGAACTGCATAATTCATCATCATCTCAAATTCATTAATTTATTTACTTATACTACGGCTGTTCCATATACAGGGGGGTTAAAAGATGTACACGTTACATTTTCTTCAGAGTTTATATACAAAAAATGTGAAGGGTAATGGGCTGCAGAGTGATGAGAATTATCTCAAGATGCAAAGTAAAAAATAAGGCTCAAAGAAGGAATTGTTGGGGGTGGGGTGGGGGTGGGGGGAAGAGGGGTGGGGGGTGGGGGTAGGGGGTAGAAGGGCAGGGATATATTAAGAGTGATCAACAAGTGAGAAATAGAAAAACAGCCTTGTGAATGACATGTTATTCGACATGTGATCGACATGTGATTGACATATGATCGACATGTGATTGACATGTGTCCGACAGGCCATCGACAGGTAATCAACATGTGATCAGGAAGTGATCGACATGTGATCAACAAGTGATCCACATGGGATTTAAATGTGACCGACATGTGATTAACATGTGATCGACAGACGACAGGTGATTGACTTGGGATTAACATGTGATCAACATGTGATCGACGTGATGAACTGTGATCACTTGATTGCAAATCTTTTATAACATATTTAGGTAAGCACCTTATGAAAGTTAAAAAAAAATGTAAAGCATAATTATATTCAAATCTTAAAGTGCAGTTTTATGCACTGCTAATGGGGGACTGTTCTAATGAGCAGGATACTTGGGCGAAATAAAACAAAAACATGTTTAGCGTCCCGCCTTTTTGAAAAAAAGGAAACGAGAGACTCTTTTTTTTTCTCCCCACCAAAATGGCCGCCCGACTGGGCTACTTTTCTAGATGGCTGCCATTAGACTCAGGAAATGACAGTTAGCTTTATACGTGTTATATGGGCTAGATGCAACAGATAAAGAGGCCCAAATGATGTCACTGTTGAAGATTTATCATTTTTACGATTTAAAAAAAAAAAAAAGGGGGGGGGGGCGGCCTTAAAAAAAGGAAGGGGGCGTGGACGCTAAACATGTTTTTATTTTATTTCGCCTTATCCATCTTTGGCTGGAGACACAACTGGAGATGAGGCCAGGGTTTCGTAAACTCCCCCAAGTCTACGATACCACCTCTTGTATTTGCTGCCCCCATTGAACATACGTCAGCTCAAATGACTTTTGAAATACACAAAGAGACACTGGAAACTGGTTGTAAAATTTATCCTAATTTTAGAAAGGAGAGGATTTTGTTTGTCTTATTTTCTTAAAGCAAAACACATTTTCCCTTGCTCTTTTTCTTTCTTTTCTTGCTGGCGTTCCGCCTTTCTTTCTGTAAACGAAAACGAAAACACAATTCACTTAATTAATTTCTTCGAAACTACAGGCATGTGAAAATACTGCAAATAAACGAATACAGAACAATTCGGCGTCTTTCAGAGGAACAACTTAAAACATTCTTAATTCCTGGTAAAGGGTGCATTTTTTAGCTTTACTCAAAAGTAAATATAAAAAAAAGGATATAAGTTTCCCTTTTTCCCAAACATGACAAATAATATACAAATAATGAATGTTTGTGAGTGCAATGGTAAGAATAATTTCATGAGGCAAGGCCAAAAAAAAAAAATATTCGGTCTCTGGTCAGACCAAAGTTCCGGAATTGACGCGGCCACGCGGCTTTTTTTTTTTTTTTTTGCTTTTTTTTTTTCTTCAAGCTTGGATTGTACAGACAAGGTGGGTACTATTTTGCTTTTTTGGTGTCCTCATGTACATTGGTGTCCTCCATAATTTGCCTTGGTGCTTTCGATCATTTGCCTTGGTGCAATTTCCCATTCCTTGGTGCTCTTTGGTAAAAAAAATTGAGGAGGTGCGGAAATAGGGGGCGCAGTTGGAGCTACCGCGGAACATTTTGGAAAAAAAAAGATCGACGCGCATGATTAAAATCGACGCGCGCGCTGACCAGAGACCGACATATTTTTTTTTTTGGCCTAACAGATGGAATGTTCGATGTCACGAGGCGAAGCCGCGAGGAATGGAACATTCCATCTGTCACCAAATGAAATTATTCTTACCATTGCACAAATGTGAAATATTGATTATTTGTTTTATACAACTCCTGAATAAATCCTCGTCATCTGATATAGTGTGCCGCGTTTTCTCTTCTCAGTCCCGAGTAAAATCCCGACAAGCAGTTGTTCAGTTGTGAATCAGAAATAATGCTTCAACAGATGTTCCTGTGTTTTGCAAATTTGTCTAATCGTTTGACAGCATATCTTATTTGCTTCAAAAAGGAGGACAAACGGTGTTTCAGTCTCACATAACATCCGCATTTTGCGAAATAGATTCGTGTCACAGCGCCACCAACGGCAGCACTGAAACCATGAGGAAGTTCTATTCACCGTGCAAAAGAACTTCCACTGCACTGTACGGCGCGCGTTGGGACAATTAATTCAATGACATGTGATCAACGATCCACCAACCAGATGACAGGGATTTATTCTGGTGTTTGTATCAAAACGAAATGTCACTCAACACACAAACAAAGGCAACTCTTCATTTTTAACACTACATTTATCAACACGCATTCTGAGACAGAAAAGTATATCAAACTTACATCTTTCCTGATTTCTCGGACCAACGTGTAGAACGCATCGTCCTGAAAACAAAATGACAATTAGCAGATCAGAATAATCGTGCAAACATTTGCAGTAAATTCTGGTTGTAAATTGGCGAAAATGGCGGGGTTTACATGCCCCATTATTTTCAGGACGCCCTGTATAGCTTATGGGAATCAGACAAAATCTGAAAGAATCAAAGATATTTTCAGTTCAAAATTTTTGGTTCTCAGAAAGTAAAAACAAACTTGAGACAATTGTTGTTCAAGTTTCCCAAATGAACTCCTTAGCAATGCACATTTCTGTAAAAGCATATCAGAATGAAATTCGGAGTATACATTCATCACTTGTTCAAAAATCATTCACACAAATTTTCATCAATATTCTATTGTACTATAGGCTGTTTCTCAAAATACGGTCGTGCCACTTCTAAATTGTTTTTCACGCTGAAGGGTCATACAGGGTGAGTCAAGAAAAAGCAGAACCCAAACCCAAACAATATGTTTCATATTTAAAAAAAAACATGTAGCACCAAAAATAATAATGACTGGAAAGCCAATTTCAAAAGCTACTTTTGGATGAAAAAAGTACTGAAATTGCTCAATCCGTTCAAGAATATCACCATTTAAACCCAATGGCCCCAAAACCTGTCTCGTCCAAAAAATGCGATTTCAACAATCGTCGTCACAATTGTCTTCAAATATTACCAGCGATGAAATCTTAGTTTAAACGTTAAGAATATGCGACAAAGTCATTGTGAAGGCCCGTCTTTTCAAAAAGTAGATTTTACACATCATATTGTTTTGCCTAACCAGGGTTGTTAATCAAAAATATTTTGTACTACAGTTTGTGTCAGTTGTTGAAACAAGTATTCTGTGTCATTTTCTTTGTTGTTCCAAACAGTCAAAACACACAATAAATTGCTTTTTTTTGGACGAGACAGGTTTTTAGGTCGTTGCGTTTAAATGGTGATATTCTTTGAATGGATTAAGCAATTTCAGTAATTTTTTTCATCTAAAAGTAGCTTTTGAAATTGGCTTTCCAGTCACTATTATTTTTGGTGCTACATATTTTTTTAAGTATGAAATTTACTTTAAATTTAAATATTTAATTTTGTGGGTTTGAGTTCCTCTTTTTTTTGACTCGCCCTGTATATGGGATCTCCAGTCACTTACCACTCCATGCCTGGTTTTAGCGGACGTCTCAATGTAAGGAATGCCTGAGCTCTTGGCCATGGCTAGACCGTCCAGAGTGTCCACTGTTCTCTCTGGCAAGTCAATCTTGTTTCCCACCACTGCATTAATGAAATAAAAGTAGGAAGGAGGAATAATCATTTTGTAAGATTTGAAGAAAAGTTGGAATGGGTCCAGAGGTTTGAATTTTCGTTAACCCTAACCCTCCTCAATCCTCCTCAATCCTCCTCAATCCTCCTTGTGGTTTTGGAGGATTTTGGAGGATTGAGGCTGAATGGTATTTTTCAGAAAAGGATTTTGGAGGATTGAGGCCGAATGGTATTGTGAGGCAGGACTGTCTGACAATTTTGAAGGATTGAGGGGCTGGGTACCCTTCATTTGAACATAAGTGCAACATTTTTGGATGAGGAGGATTTTGGAGGATGGAGGATGAATGCATTTTGAGGCAGGACTGTCTGAAAATTTTCAAGAATTTAGACGCTGTTGTAAAATTTTGGAGGATTCTGGAGGATTGAGGATGGTTCCTAGCAAAAAGGCCTAGGGTGTTAGGGTTAACTCCCTCTGCATTTGAGTTAGTGAATTTCCTGAATTCTCCAAAATGCACAACTGCGCAGCAACCCAGTTTTATAGGCACTGTCTTTGAACTTGACCCCTTCACAAGGGACGCAGGGCCTGTGTGTGAAGAAAACTACTTTCCTGAATCCTGCAAAATCTCAAAACAAATTCTGAAAGGATTTTGTGGGCTCACTGACTGTTCAGGGTTAGCTGGTCAGCCCTGCTGCGCAAAGGTGACCGTTTTAGCCGATTTTCGTCTAACTTTAACAGAATTTTCGTTAAAAAAAACGAGTTTGACAGAAAATTTGACAGAATGGATTTTTTTTGGCAGATTTCTGCAATATCACCCTGTCTGGCTTGAAAACCAGGAGGATGTAGGACTAGTTTTGTCGCTGCAAACAACTGGGCCAGTTTGCCTGGTCGGTACTTACAAACCATGGGGACTTCGTCCGTGTCCTTCACGCGGAAGATCTGCGACCAGTACAGGTTGAAGTCCTCGAAGGACTTGCGGTTGTTGACGGCGAAGACGATCAGGAAGCCTTCCCCGGTCCTCATGTACTGGTCCCTCATGGCGCTGTTGGGATCGAGATCGTGGGAAACGGGAACCGATGAAAATGCAAATCAATGCTTTTAACAGGTGTTACTGGCCTTCATGTATATTCAGTTGTGTTCTATTTACACAATAAGGCCTTCTTACGGTATCGTCTCGCCTGTCCGTGAGCGGAGCCAGGGGCCAATTTCATGGCTCTGCTTACCATTAGCGAAAAATCCCTGCTTACTGTGGCAGAAAATTCCGCGCTTACGGTAAACGTATTTCACAGGTTTAGCAGATGCACATATGTATGCTACAGTTCATCCTGGAAGGATTCTGTGCTTACAGGGTTAGCGCAGTATTTATCAGCTAGTGCTGTTAGCACAGAATGGTGGTCGTAAGCGCGGAATCCTGTGGTTAGCAGAGCCATGAAATTGGACCCTTGTCCGATTCAACACGGGTCGACAGAGATACTTTCACTGCTTTGGTCACAGATCTGGATATCATTCACCAACAGAGACTTAACCCTGGTTCTGACCACGGTTGAATATCATCTGTTGTAGACGTTGTACAGATTCTTGCTTGTGTCGGAGGGATTCCTGAGATCTGCAAGGGTTCAATCTGGGTCCGACATGGGGATTTTGGATGGTGCGAAAGGGCCTAAAGATGGTACGGGTTTGTACACTTTCAGTAGAAGTTTTTTTCCAATCCTTATCGTTGTCTCTGTCTCAAGAATAGCTCAGAAGACTTTATTGTGTGAACCCTGTGAAAGCTGCAGTTAAAAACCGAGGTTTGGCAGACCTCTTCGTCGATGCCAGTTCATACTCAGTGCAAAAGCGAATAAGAATACGTGTGTTCGTGAATTTGCGACGTCATGGCGAATTTGCAAATGTTGAACACATTTCAATTGCGGCAAAATGTGCAAAGGTTGAACACGTTTCAACTGCAGCGAAATTCCGCAGCGAATGCTTCCTGATGTCAAATTCGCATTCACGTCATGTACGAACCAGGCTTTAGCAACACAGCGCCCTCTTTAGTCCATGCACAAAGCCATGAACCATTGACCCGGCCCTACCTGTACTCCTCTTGACCAGCAGAGTCCAGGATGTCCAGGAGACACGTCTCGCCATCGATGACCACCTGCTTACGATAGGAATCCTCTGCAATGCAATCACAGGGTCAGTATCAGTAAACGCTTCAAACCTTTTCACAACTACATTTGTATCACTCGTACTGGAGTACAATGTACATGTTTCCTCATGAGAATACTTGCACTTATATCCTCATACTCATGAATAAAAAATACCTGTACTCACACTCGTACTCACACCCATTCTGGAATTTGTATTCCTGTGGAGACATTTCTTTGTTCTCGTGTAGTAAAGTTTTCGAGTTTGAAATTGAAGTTTCAAAATGCTCTTATTTTAACCAGAATTAATTTCCTGGGCTGAAATTTGGACTAAATATCCCTTTTCTAAAACTCTTCCATTTGCGACAGATCAACCTACCTTGGAAATTCCTAGTTTTTGAGTAAAATCCATATATCTATTTCGTGAAATTCTTGTGGAGACGTATTCATCTATAGAAATGTTCTTCTGGAGACGTATACAATCTTTTGTTCCCTATTGTGTGCATGTCTCCGTAAGGTAGTAAATTCCAGCACACTCGTACTCATACTCATGGTGAAGTACAAGTACTTGTACTCATGGAAGCGTTCTCCCATGGGAATCTAAACTTTCTTCAACCCTACTGGTAACTCCCTACTGTCTTTTCATATTATGCAAACCCGACCTGAAACCGAAACCGACCCGACCCGAAACCAACTTCAGGTCGGGTTGGGTCGGTTTGTCGATCATTTTAGTCGGGCGTTTCGGTTTCCCGTTTGCAATTTTCGGGTTGGGTCGGGTTAGCCATTTTGGAAAACCCAAAATAAAACCGAAATGAACCGAAACAGAATGGAAATTCACATGGTGCGCTATTAAGTGCAGAGTCACTGCGCGCGGTGCGACTAAAAAGGGTTTGGCGGTCTGTCTCGATTGGCCTATAACATGTAGGCCCACCAGTAGGTCACACTGTAAGTGCCGCACGGCATGATTCAGTTACTGAAAGCCGACATATTTTACGCGAAGCGGGTCAGTTCAGGCGCAAAAATCGTTCACATTTGCCGAAGCCAGATATTCGTTTTTACGGGTCGGTTTGGTATCGGGCAGTTCGGGTCGGTTTTCTTTGAGTTGTTGTTGGGTTGGGTCGGGTCGGTTTTAGGTAGTCCAGTTCGGTTTCGGTTCAGATTCGGTTTATAAAATAAATGTCTCGGGTCGGTTTGGCCTTGTCAACCCGACCCGATGCACATCACCACTTGTCTTTTACTATAATACTGGACCAAGTCGGCCAAAATCCATCAATCACACTGCTTCCAGTGTATACATTGCTTTAGGCTTCCAGGCCCAAGTCCATCATACTCCATCAAGATATTGTCAAACCAGGCCTGCAGGACCAAGTCCCCCCAAGTCCACCAAAATGGGGGGATGGATTTTGATGGAGTTGGGGAGTTTAGGGTTAAGTGGTACGGGCAGGAATAAAACAGGTTTTTTTTTTACTGTTTGGGAGGCATTTGGATTTGCTTAACATGCCTAACACCCAGGGCCAAGTTTGCGCAAGGACTATAGTTAACCAATGGTTAACTAACGTTTGCCCGAACTCTGTCTAGTCGACGGTGGTTGACTACGCTAGTCGACTATTTGGAACCAGCCTACTGGGGTTGGTTGCTTCGCTGGTAACCAATAGCTGCGCGCATTCATAACGCTACCAGAGAGCCAGGATCCAGACGTTTTGCGATGACATTTTGACCAGCGTTTGACTAGAGACGTTCGCACGTTGTTATCAGTGCGCAGGCATAAGGTACGTCACAAATCAACCACTAGTCGACTAATGGTCCTTGCCCGAACTTGGCCTAGATTGACAAGCAAAAAAGGCCCTTAAGAGCATGTGTACTCACTACCCACTGAAATGTGCTTGTACATACGGAAAGCACTCGTGGGAGTGTGCTCTTATATTGAAGTCACACAAAAAATTGCCTTGTACTTGCATTTGATCAAGGTACGTGTACATGTACTCATGGCAGAGTACTTGTACTCATATTCGTGCTCACATGCTCATGGAAATGTCCTCAAATACAACACTAGGAGAGTCAGGTTGGCACAGTGGCCCTTCCCTCGCCTCCAACCTCTATATGGCCTGGGTTCAATTCCTCCCCTGGTCCACCTGTGGATTGGATTTTCCAGTCCCTACCTGATTCCGTGGGTTTCCCCCAGAATATTGCTCTGGGGTTTTCCTCCCACCTCTAAAACTGTAATTTCTTCTCATTGTCTTCTCTCTACGGGTTTCTTCAGGCTTGCGAGCTGCAGTGCCTAGGGAGCTTTTGAGGAATCCTTGGTTTCATTACCATCAACAAAAATAAAAATAATATTTCACCATTTGCTAGTGGTAAATTAAACAAAAAGGCCAACTCACCAATTGTAGGGTCATATTCATCCACGAAGCTGAAAGACAAGACAAGAATTTGGTTGATTTTAAAACAGTGCAATGTTCACTGGCTACATGTACCGGCTTTGTGGAAAGTCAACAAAAATTACGTTATGGGAAGAAACAGTCTTTTACCATTGAGGTATCTACAGAGGTTATTAGAAAACCTCATTTTTGTTCATTTGCAAAATTTGCTTTTCAATCAGATTTAACAAACCCTTGAAAACACTAGAAGGGCCAAACTTTGGCAGAGACAAATGCAAGGTTTGAGTTGGGGGAGGGTGGGGGAGGGTGGATGAGCGTTAGGGAGGGTAGGGGTAGGGGTAGGTTTAAGGCTGGCTCATACTTCGGGCGAACGCGAAGCCTATTTGACACCACATAAACGTTTGCTCCGGCTTTCGCCGGAGTTGCAATGTGTTCAACTTTGGTGAATACGTGGCACGAAAACTTGTCGTGACAACACAAAAGTGCGTTTGCGTCGAGTATAAACCCGCCTTTGAGGCCACTCACTGGTTTTGAATGAGCTGTATCGTGAGGGCGCTCTTGCCGACACCACCGGCTGTTGAATAAAACAAGAGAAAAAGAGCCTTATAACGGATGGGTCCACAGAGTGGCAATGTACTTACTGGTTTTGGATCAGTTGTATCGTTAGTGCACTTTTCCCTACACCTCCAGCTGTTGAACAAAAAACGGGTGTACAGGAGATTGTAACTTTGTCACACAGTTTTACAAATAATTCATAAATACCTCAGACAGTTTAGCTATTCCTATTGGTCGAGAGCCCATCACGTGGCCAGTCTTAAACGGATGATAAAGACATGGCTAGCCGAGTCTTAAACACTTTTCCAGTGTCACATAAAATGTGGACTCCTACAAATCCAGTGCCTCTTACCATTTCATTGGTTGAACGTTCACAATCCTCACGTACCGGTAGGCGTGCGCAACACTACCAGCGAGTCAGAATTTTCTAGTTCGTAATTCAAAACGCAACGCCCCAGGTGCGTTCTGCACGACATCGCACAGAACATGCTACGCGCGCGTCAATCTCCATAAAAGGGTTGTTTACATCTTACTCACCAGCTGAACACTCCATTATTTTGCTAGAGGGATGTTTCAAAAAGCATGAAGTGAACTTGTTGAACAAAACCGGGATTTTTTGAACAAATTATTTGATTTTTTTTACCGAAAAGGTATTTATGAATGGGAATAAATGTGTGCTCGGTCGGTATTTATCACTCTGTTTAAGACCGCTTAGAGTCTGGGTGCTGATAATTACCCTCGCCTCCGGCTCGGGTAATTATCAGCACCCAGACTCTAAGCGGTCTTAAACAGAGTGTTAAAAGCCTCCGGAGCACACATTTATTCCCTTAGTAAATGCAGCAGATGTGGTTTATTTTTACCATGTACACGAAGAATATGTCTGTAACTGTGATTGCACAACTTGTGAGATTTTAACAGAAACAGCGTGTCCAAAATTACACAACTGTGTCTAACATTTTTACCTCTACCACTTCAATGTTTGCTCAGTCAAATCTTGTGAACAGGCACAGTGTATGTTTTTGACAGAAATAAGCTGGCCAGTTCACATTTACTGTTTATGTCAATCTGTCTTGACACCAAACACCGACAAGTCGAGTCCATGTTTGTCTTACATACATGTACATGTACTACGCAATTACTTTACCCAACAGCAATGTGCATGATGAACTGACCAAAAGATAAGATCAGCATTTTTTATGTAATTACTGTCATCCATTGTCACGATTTCCAACATAGCAGTCAAGAAAAATGTAGTGCAACCCATTAATTTAAAGGGAATGTACAACATTTGATTTTGTTGCAATTTCCAGAAACAAATGGATTTGGCATGTTTGGAGGATTAGTATGTTATGGCTCATATTGTTATACTGACTCGTTTCACGTTTTGGGTTCGCAGATGCTGGAAAAACCATGAAAACCAGTCATATTCTTGTAGTCTGGTTCCCTGACCCCACTTAAGATGAAACAAAGCAATTTATAGACTTTTGGGAATTGTGAGATTAGAGAATCAGTCTAGCAGGTTTATAGTCTTCAAAGTTGTAAACAATTGCAAAGAAAATGCAGAAGAACTAAATATGGAAAATTACATGTAGGAGACAGTTTTCCAACGCTGGTCGGCCGACCAGCGTTGGAAAAATGAAGTTTTTCTTGCAACTGTCAGCACATCAGGTGAGCCACAACTTTACAGAATGATGTAGACTGTCATTCCCTAACAATCCAGTAAGGTATTTCATGATAATTTGATCATTTCGTTTTTTGATGTTTGCAAATGTTGTATCTTCCCTTTAATGGACTCTTTTTACTTCAAATGGCGAGAAAAATCACTGCCAAAAATCTTTCATGTAGGCCTACATGTGGTGCTTGTATGGGTTTTGAAACCCTAGCCTTCTACTAGCGGTTGTAAACTTCCTGTGGCAGGAAGTGTCTAATGAGACATCCCAAGGTCGGCTAAACTGGCCTAAATATGGAACTTGTTGACCCCCATCCAAGCGAATTGCCTGAAAAAAAAAACTTTGTACCATGTACGTCCTTCAGTGGGTAGTTATTGTGTAATTAGCTTTATGTACATGTATTATGGTTCTCTACAGTATGTTACATCTGCAACTCATCCAACTACACAGGCTATGCATGTAGTTTGGGCGGTCCCAACTACAATTTTGCCAGTCTCACCTACACCAGTCCAACCTACATGTATACATGTACTTTGGGCAGTCCCAAAGTTTTGGGCAGTCCCAACTCAGACACAGGGCTCTGGAGTGCTCTGAAACGTGCAAAACTAAATCAGGCCCACTTTACTCACAGTTTAGACAGCAAATTTCTCTGAAAATTCCACTGGGCCGAAGAAAATGTCCTCAGTATTTCTCCAACCAAGTTTGCAGGCTCAATTCAATTTTTTAAGGAGACTTTTCTTCAATATTTTGCACAGGAGAGGGAAGTCAAGTGATTTCAAAATGGGGCTAAATACTAGACTGGTACATGTCCAACCATGGTCCAACTATTTGAAAAGACTGACCTCTTCATTCAGTCTCAATAGTCTGGTGGCTTGACTATGGAGAAATGTGTAGTAAATTGAGACTAGTTCCCGCTTCATGCCACATATTTCTTAAATTCTTTTGGCATGGTTGATTGATGCAGTACTGAAGCTGTGTTGGACTGGTTGTTTTAGGTGCCAGTCTATTTTCGTGTTTTGCATGTTTTCAATACCTTAAGTTTTGGGACTCTCATACACAGTATTGAGAGTCCCAAATTTTAGGACTAAGTCCCAACTATGGTTTAGTCTGAGTATCACCCGTTATCCACGGAGCCCAGACTCCTGTCTAACGTCTGATATATATCAAAGCATGCAAATTTATGCGATCTCGCGCCCCAGCCAATCGGAGTCGACTTTACTCAATCGTGACGTCATTTCATTCCCAAATCAGGACTAAACGTTTGATTGGTCAATTCGAATGCAGTGTTTTGTAATGCAACAACAGCTGGGCGCGTTATCGCGTAACATGATCCTATGAACATGATAGATACAGAACGCGTGACGCGCCGCAGGGCTTTTTAATCCATTGTCTGTGATGTGCAACAGGTGAACGACCGAAGACCCGATATGGAAAGCGCCCGCTGATTGGTCAAAATCTAGGAGATCAAGAGGCGGGGTCTTGCCTAATTAATCAGCAAATCTGCTCACATATCATAGACCACTGGCATTCGCCATGGGTCTATTGCATCTACGAACTATGGTTTGGACAGTCCCAACAAAAGTTTAGGCAGTCACAAAGTCATAGTTTGGACAATCCCAAACATACATGTAGTTTGGTTAGTCCCTAGTCCAAAGGACAGTTTTGGCAGCACCAACTACAGTTTTATGCCAGTTCCATGTTTACTTTGGGCAGTCTGAACTATATTTTTGGCAGTCCCAACTGTAGTTTGGACAGTCCCAACTATAGTTTAGACAGTCCCAACTATACAGGCCAAACTATAGTTTTGGCAGTCCCAACTATACAGGGCGAGTAAAAAAAAAAAGCGAAACCCAAATGTAGGGACTATTGTTTTAGTGAAGTTTTGCATGTAGCACTTTGAAAATCTAGGATATGAAAGCTTCTTTCATAAGCTTCTTTTAGTCATCATTCAAATCACTCATGTACCTTTCTGTCCACGGATCACAAAAAAGGTGTGCATTCTTTCAGCAAAATGAAAGCAATTCACACACATCCCTATGTGATTTGATTTTGTTTTGCTGAAAGAACACTTACCTTCTTGTGATCCGTGGACAGAACTTTAAAACAGTGGTTGTGTTTAAAATTCCGTAACTTGAAAAGTACATTAGAGTGATTTGGATGATTCGTGTACAAAAAGAAAGCCTATGAATTGGGCTTTCGTATCCTAGATTTTGAAAGGGCTACATGCAGAACTTCACTAAAACAACGGTCCTGACATTTGGGCTTCGCTTTTTTTTTTTTTTAATAACCCTGTAGTTTGGGCTGTCCCAACTATACTTTTGACAATCATTTTGTATTAGTAGCCTCACATTGCGTAAATTTCAGCCATGGCTTAGAAGTTAGAACAACCAGTATTGCCCAAACTTCTCGTAAACATATAGGAAGGTGTCTTGTTCTTACGTTTTTGTAAAGAATGGTACATGTAGTTGGACACGTGTTCCTAGTTGGAACTACTCCAACTACTGGGTATTGTTGGCACATGTCACAAATTTGATTGGAATAAAACGAACAAGTTGCAACTGTATCAATTTAACAATCAGCAGAATTAATTTTTCTTGGAAATATTTCGGGCTGGGCGTCTCCACTTAATTAAGCACTCATGTCATACATGTCATAGCCAGGGTTAAACTTTGAGGATGTGCTGCCAGATGACACACAAAAGTTGGCAGCCTCAAAACCAATAAGGTCACAGAACAAAAAACAGGAAAACAATTGCTTTTTGTGGCTGGCTGAGTAAACATGAAACACTCAATGACCTTCAACAGAACAAAACTGGCATTGTCCATGGAGTAAGGAACAACATACCCTGGCCTGCACTGCGTTGTGGGGAAGTTTTCTATTGTTAGGGAACTCAGGACTGAGTTATGGGGACTTTCTGCTGTCTCCATAGCATCTTTGGTCCCCATAATAACTATCGCTCAACAGGTGTGCAGTCCCCACAATTAGGCCTACAGAACAAGATTGTGTGTAGGCCTACTTGTTCTACATAACTCCCGAGGACAGATACACAAAGGGAGAATAGATCCTTTCAGTCCTCGGGAGTTGGGTCTTTTGTTCAAAACGGTCCTCTGTGGTAGGTTTATGCGCTTAGTAGATATGGGAGAGTGTTATATTACAGGGACAAAGGAAAACACAAAGCATTGTCCTCGGGAGTATAGTAAAACAAGAGGGTGTGTACATGTACATGTATGGCTTTACGATAGAGGACAGACACACAGAAGGGAAAACAAAAGATTCTTTCAGTTCTTGAGCATTGGGTCTTTCGTTGAAAATGGTCCATGATTGTACGGTTATGTGCTTAGTCTATGGGAGAGTGTTATACATGTATTACAGGGACAAAGGGAAACACAAAGCATTGTCCTCGGGCGTATAGAAATTCACGACATGTATTGAGACTGGTCAAATGATGCAGACATGGCCGTTTCCCATTTCGACTATACAGTTACTACGTCTAGTGCACAACCATTCCGACAGAAACACATGACCGGAACACATGTAATGAACACATCTTATGCTTGTTATGGTCATGATGGTAAAATTCTGGCCCCTTCCGTTTCAAATCTTCCTCTTTAATATAGGGTTTTGCCCAGACTGGGACCTTAAAACCCTAACTCCCTAGGCCTTTTTGCTAGGATGTAGCCTCAATCCTGCAAAATCCTCCAATTGGCCTAATGGAAAAAAAGCATAGCCTCAATCCTGCAAATTCCTCCGTGGTTTCTTGAATATGGTCCATGGAGGGGTGACCACTGCCTGAATCCTGCAAAATCCTCCGGCTATGACTGTCAATAGGCTGAGGCAGTGACATCCTGGAGCAGTGCGGAGGATGTCAAGTATAATCAAGGACTACATTTATGCACGGCTGAGCATAAACAACACAAGGTCCGGCCCAAGACCTTGACACAGTGCGTACTCCGAAATCAGCAACGCACTTTGGCCATGTAACCTCAAACCTGCAAATTCCTCCAATTTGCAAAAAGGATTTTGGAGGATTCAGGGCAGTTAGGGTTAAGTGCTCAAAATGATGCAAAAGAAGATCAGGCCAACTTTACTCACTCTTTAGCCAGCAAATTTCTCAAAAACTGTCGTTGGGCAAAGAAAAGTTTCTCAGTATTTCACCAACCAAGTTTGAAGACTCAATTCAATGTTTAAAGGAGGGCACTGGCTTGCACATGAGCGGGAAATCAAGTGATTTCAAAATGAGGCTAAAGACTAGACTTCTACATGTACATGTCCATCCATGGTCCAACTGTTTGACAAAACTGACTTCTTCATTCATTGTCATTAGTCAGGTGCCTGAGTATGGAGAAATGTGTAGAAATAGTGACATACCGGTAGTACCTGACATCTTAGACATTTCTTTTGGCACAGTCAGCTGACAGTAGATTGATGCAGTACTGAAGCGGTGTTGGACTGGTGGTTTCATGTGCCAGTCTATTTTCTTGCACTGCATGTTTTCAATACCTAACCGCCCTGAATCCTCCAAAATCCTTTTTGCAAATTGGAGGAATTTGCAGGATTGAGGTTACATGACCAAAGTGCGTTGCTGATTTCGGAGTATGCACTGTGTCAAGGTCTTGGGCCGGACCTTGTGTTGTTTACGTGTATGCTCAGCCATGCATAAATTTAGTCCTTGATTATACTTGACATCCTCCGCACTGCTCCAGGATGTCACTGCCTCTGCCTCAGCCTATTGACAGTCATAGCCAGAGGATTTTGCAGGATTCAGGCAGTGGTCACCCCTCCATGGACCATATTCAAGAAACAACGGAGGAATTTGCAGGATTGAGGCTATATGCTATTTTTCCATGAGGCCAATTGGAGGATTTTGCAGGATTGAGGCTACATCCTAGCAAAAAGGCCTAGGGAGTTTTAAGTTTTGGGACTCTCATACCCAGTATTGAGAGTCCCAAATTTTGGGAGGAGGTTCATCTCATGTGATATGCATGACCATGCGCAAGTAATATTCCAAGAAAGAGTCTGTTCAATGTATTTCATAAAAACCTAAATCACGTACATGTAGGCTGGTGCTCACTACTCAACCTCATGCATCAGATTCAAATGAGCTAGCTCTGCACGCGCACCAGTTCACCCCGATACATTTATGCAAAAATAATCGTACTTCATGTAGTTTGAGAATTCAATTTGAGATCGTCGCGATTTTTGCACGTTTAACACAACTATGATTGTGTCAAATCATGGTCAGTTTCAAGTGTGGAAAATCGTTTAAGTTTGTGGCAAATAATTAAAAGTACTTGAAAGGTTTGAAATTTGTTCATTTAAAATTAATATTTATTTTCAAAGTGGCAATAAAAAGTTTGAGGTCGGCAAATTGGCCAAAAAAATTCCAGGTCCGTTGGGTTACCGTAAACACACCATTTTGTTTTGTTTGGCCTTATGCAAGTTCTGTTTTTAAAGAGCAAATTCTCTTTTTAAATTGCCGGAGCTTGTTGGCTCTGTGTGCCCCCACTGCACTCGCATGGTCTTTTATTCGTGTTCGGGTTACCACGTGCGCCTTGACTCAAGTCTACCTGACTGACAGCAGAAACGATCCAGCAGGCGCATGATCTTTTCGATTTTGGAATTCAGATACGCAAACGTGTGCAAATGAACCTGGAAATTACACGAAAAATAGACGTCTGAGAAAGGCCGGACTTCTTTTCTATAAAGAGGGTGAGTGTGCTTTAAAGTTCTAAAGCGTAAATAAACTAGGCCTACAAACAAACATGACAAAGTCTAAATGTAAAATGAAACATTGACAAAGTTCTACATTTTCGGGTACATGTTCCAAGTGTGGCCCTTATTTACGGAGGTAGTCCAGTAAATTGGGCGATCGTGTAGTGAAGGGCCCGGTTCCTATACGGGAACAAAATCCACTTTTAAATTATTGGACCTAGGCCTACCAAACTAGTTGGCAACATTCTCAATAAACAGGTATGTCATAGATAGAGGGCAGGATTTTGAAGGGAAATTTGGGGGTAAAATGCAATGACAGCGCGGCGACAACAATTAACACGCGACCCGAAAATAAAGACATGAAAGATGGCTATCACCGCGCGCTGAATCGCAAGGCACAAATCGCACCGGAAAATGGTGATTCCTACCCCAAGAATCTGTTCAAAATAGCAAAACGGGTGTCACTAGAATTGAGAAAAGTCTGCTTTTGATTGTAAAAAGGTGATTTTTGAGCAATAACAAACATTTTTTACTCTAATTTGATCAGAACAAAACAGGGGCCCTACACTTCACGATAAAATTGGCCATATTTATGGGGCTGGATCGAGAAATACATGTGTACACGTTCACTCATCGTACATTATCTGCATAGGGGCCCTATCCGGAAGCGCACGCTCCGCGTCCAACAACGTGCATGCAACGGGCAACGGGATTCCATGCAACATACCTCCAACAACAACCAGTTTGTATTCCGTCATGGTTTTAATTTATCTCCGCCGATTCGCCCAACATTTGCGTCTCAAAACAAGTCCTGCAAGTTCCTCCAAACGTCCTCAGCAGTCTCTGATGCTCTTCATTGACTGTGGAGATTGTGTTTGTCCAGATTCAGCAGTAATTAAAATCGTAAGCGATGATTCAGTCGCCTCTAGGAAAATCGCCCGACGCCCAAAATTTCTTCGGCCGCTAGATTGGGACTTTATCAAAGGAGCTAAAAATAGAGTTGTGCAGACGGCATAGACTCGAAAACAGCCGTGTGATTTACTGTTTAATTTGTCATCGGGATATCATTGATTGTCAAAATGAACTGACTTCCGCAGTTATATATTCATATATTATTTAATACTGTAGAGATTCAAACTGCACTTTAAATTTCATCTCGTGTCTTCATGGCTTGTAATGCAAGAATATCATTATTGCTTATAAACGTTCACAATACAATAGTGGCTGAAAAACAGTCTAGCATAAACTTTACCATTTCTAACGAAAGGTGGCGCTACATACCAAACGTTATACCAGAAATTGTGCTAGTAATGCATGTTCCTCACACACCGCGCACACCCACGTACCATCATAGGGTTGCAGACTAGTAAATCGGTCTGAAATTGCTAGTACGCCGGCCAAATCACGATTTGCAAACCAATTTAGAATGAAAAAAAGAGGTAAATTTGAAGCAGTAGTTGCAAAATAGTTCGATTTTTCAAACGGTGGTCGGCCGACCACCGTTGGAAATGTATACAAGAGTACCATTTTCTTGAAAATGACTTCACACCAGGTGTCATAATTTTACAGGATGCTTTAAACTGCCAGTTACCAACATCCTAGTAAGGTGTTTTTCGTAACAACTTGGTACATGTAGTTTTATTTTTCGATGTCTGCCAATGTTGTATTTTCCGTTTAAATTTCGTCCGGAAAAGATAATCTCAATTTAAAAAAAATACAGGTATAGGCCCTACACACCAACTTTAAAAAAATGTCATACTTTATGAAATGTGTGCGTGACGATGCAATATTTCGATTATCGCTCAAAATAGTTACTGGGGGAGGGGGCGGGTGTTGGGTGTGTTGCAGAATGGCAAATTGCAACCGGCTAGAGATTTTAAGAGCGAGCCAGGCTGGCACGCGTGACTGAGCAAAATCGGCGGGGCCGGCGACATCGGCCTGTCGGAAAAAGCGTGTCACGTCAGTCGGCAGGGATGAAGAGCGCCACCTACTTTCCGAAAGTGTCTCTGAGTGTCCGCTTTTCTTCAAATTCTTCAGTATTTGAGAATACTGTGGGCCATGAACTTGAGGGTTTGTTAAAAAAAATATGGGTGGAAGCCGTGCACAGGACTGTGAGCTTGTAGTTCCGTTCAATTTGGATGAAATTGGGGCCCTAAAAGTGCTCTATTTTGCAATGGAGTGTAGGCATCGTTTTTCAAAATGGCGATGGGCTTCAGGACTGTTTTCAGGGGTGATTGTCTTCGGATAGAAATTTCTCCTAAAAGTCATCAGTTGACCCCCCAAAGATTGAAAAGAAAATGAGAGATGATGAAATAAGCTTTAATTTGATGTGTGTCTCGAACACCTTGGAGAGTTGTGAGTATTTTTCCCGAATTGCTGAAATGGGAGCATTTGGAGTCTATGGAAGTTTATTTACTGTTCTGCAACCCTATGGGTGCAGTAAACTCACCCATGATAAGTGCCCCAAGTTCAGAAAGTCAGGAAAACACTCACAAGTTACTTTCAAGGTTTTTGAGACACCATCAAAATTAAAGCTCATTTGATTATTTGTCCTTGGGGTCTAATAGATGATTTTGGGAGAAATCTCCATCCGAATTATGATCACCCCTTAAAATAGTCCTGAAGCCCATGGCCATTTTGAAAACGGTGCCTACACTCCATTAAAAGATAGTGCGCTTTGGGGTCCAAATTTCATCCAAATTGCACAGAAATACAAGTTCACGTTCCTGTGCACGGCTTCTACCCTTATTGTTCACGAACCGTCAAGTGCATGGGCCACAATATGCTCAAGTACTGAAAAAAATTGAGAACATGCAAATTGTGATTTGGCCGGCGTATGCAATTTCGGACCGCTCTACTGGTCTGCACCCTTTAAACAGCTGCAGCTTTATAACAAGGTCATCATAAGTTACCCACTATACCATCCCCAATTCCTTCACAAGATACCGTGAAGCGGCAGCCCATCCCTGCCCAGCGCCCTTGGGCCTGGTTGCAAGGAGGTGGGGGGGGGGGGGGTTGGGTGGGGAAGGGGGTACCGGGTACGAGCGAAGCGCTGCACATAAAATAAAGATGGGCATACATCATAAACAGCGCCCCTAGTGTAGTGGGCTGTCCTGGTATGTTGTTTTCGTCTTTTTTAAAATTAAGGATGAGAACGTACTGTTGACATTATTTTCTCGTGGATATACAGGCTGAAGATGGACTGTTGGGGACAGCGACGAACGTTGATTGCCGCTGATGGTCCGCTGGCGATTTTGGAGCGGTAGACCGCCGGTGGTATATATGCTGCTGATTGCCGCTGGTGGTCCGCCGGTGGTTTTGGAGCGGCAGGCCACTGGCCTGGAGGCATGCCACAAGCCTACCACTGGCGGACCGTCTATTAAATGGTGTTCCGATTGTTGCGTAACGATGAGTATGTTTAGCACACGTATACGCCTACGATTAACAAGGTAGCCGTTAATGTCAACAGTTTGCAGATTATTACCTGAAATGTCGACTTATTTTTCAGGGCATGTGGTCCACTCGGGGGATCAGGGCTTAGGGTGCCGCCCTGTTCCTCCCTTAGCTCTTTGCTTTTACATGGTACCTGGCCCTCCGGGGTTATATGGATGGATAGGGAAGGAAGTGTGTGTTGGTCGGGAACGCCGAGATCCCGGAAGAGCCCTTAGGGATTGGCTGGGGCATTGTTATGGCTCAGACCGATCCCTGAATGCTTGGCTAGCACATAACTTTTCGATTTTTTTTATCCTCTATTTTATTAAACTTTGGTTTAGTTTGATATGTACATCTACTGGGCAGGTCTATACGGTGATATCAAAAACGAGACAAAGGTCTATATCATATATCAATGAATATTTGATAATTGACTATAATTAAAATTAAGTTTCGTTCGGTCAATATGACTACCATTATTAATGGCGTAATTTGCAATTGACGCAAGAAAACGCCATATACAATATTATACGGGAACAAATAAAGATGTGATGTATATTATGGCTCGCACCATGCTTTCAATTAATCTATGTAATAGAAATGCTGTGGTCTATTATGCGCGAACAGATTTGCTGATTAATTAGGCAAGACCCCACCTCTTGACTTGCTAGATTTTGACCAATTAGCAGGCGCTTTCTATAGGTCTATCGGGTCTTCGGTCATTCACCCGTTGCCTGTCATAGACATGGATTTAAAAAAAATGTCACGGCGCGAGGCGATCGGTATCGTGTTACGCAAATGCGCTCCCGGCTGTTGTTGTATTACAAAACGCTGCATTCGCATTGACCAATCACAGCGTTAGTCCTGATTTTGGGATGAAATTACGTCACGATTTAGTAAAGTCGACTCCGATAAGCTGGCGCGCGGTTTGCAAAAATCTGCATGCTTTGACATATCAGACGTTATAGACAGGAGATGGCTCCAACAGGTGATACTCAAACTAGCTTACAATGGGGCGCGCTGTTCAAATCCCTCGATTATAAATACTATATAAAAGAATAGTGTACAATAAACTACAAATACCCCCTAACCAAGCTGCTTCTGTCCTTTGTTTTCTGCATGCACGTATAAGCAGACAGTGATGAGAACTGCTTATTTACAACTGTGTGCTAGAGTGCTGATACTACATATGGAGTAAACCGTTATCTTTCTTCATGTTCTTGTGCCTCTTCCTTGATTCTCGTGATTCTGCATTGATCTGGTTGTATATTCTGGCTTTTGGTGCAGTGATCGCTTTAAAAAAAATGCTGTTAAACACCTGTAAACCACAATCGTAGAGTCTCTGTTAATAAGGCGGCAATTAGCGACGCACAACAGTGGCTTCACCAGGGCAATTGGGTCAGGTTAGAAATCAAGCCTGACTAAGGGATGAAAAGAAGCTAAAATGCCGAGGCCAGCAAGTTCGTCCCTCGACATTTGTCCAACCCAAAATGCATAGGCAAGCAAACCACTGCCGTTGACCAAAACATCGACAGCAATATGCCTCAACTTATGCACAGCTGATCAATATAAGCGTCCCCTAGCCGAAAACAGTTTTTAGGGGGATCGTATATGGGGCACCGTGACACAGCGCCGTCGCCAGCCCCGAGCATCAGGGGGGGGGGGGGGAGAGAGAGGGGGAAATAGTCACAACTAGGGGGACCACTACCATAAAGAAATACAAAAAATACGTATGTAGGCCCTGTAGGCCCTGTATGCCGTTGGGGTCCAATTGCTCGCCGGGGGGGGGGGGCACCAGCCCTCCCCGGCGACTTTTATTCTTTGCTGTTTTGTTCTTTTAATGAGATTTTGGAGATTTTGTGTGAGCTCTCGACCAAAAGACATAGGTAATCCTGCATGGTTTTCAGTGTGGATCTTGATTCATAGCTTAAACTTAGTCATTAATAGCTTAAACTGTCTGTCGTTTGCAAAGTGTCACACAGAAAATGAAGCAGAATTTGATGAAGGAAGCAGATTGGTTTTCTGAAGCCAGCCCCAACCAAAAGCAGGCCCGTCGCCATATACTGAGCTCCGGGCATTTGGGGGTGGGGGGGGGGGGCACAGTGCAAATTAGGGGGGGGGGGCACACCACAAAAAAACCCACACTAATACATATAATTTTTACGCTTATTATGGTTTTTGCCAATGGAGGCCAGTTGCTCGTCGGGGGGGGGGGGGGGGCGTCTGACGGGCTGGTCAAAAGACTGACGCATGCAGCTAGTATAGTTCGTTGAGGCGTGCACCACTTTCCCAAGGGCACACGCACCATAACCCCAGGCTGGACTCGAACCCAAAACCTGCAGAATTAACCACAGATCACGAATTCAATGCAGGCTCCCGATCACGAGGCAACGGCAGTCCACTACATAACTGGACTAAACCTTTGCAGATTCACAATAAATGTCTACATGGGCACACTAAATTTCAGTAAAAGAATGGAATAAATGTGAATTCACATCATGCTTAGCATATACACTACATGTATTTCAAAATAACTCAAGTAGTTTTCAATTGCACTTGTTTTTACAGTTTCTGATATTGAATTCTTAAGTTCGTTGCTTATGGCAATTCCAGCGTTAGGAAAGGCAGTGTAATGTCAGTGATAGAGCCAATGGACCGATCCAGTAAGCCCCGCCCACTGCGCACTGGTTAAATTAACACGTGCTCCTCTCCAATGCCACGCTGCATTATCCTGCCGCGCGCATCATACGTGCGTGCACGCATGTCGGACTTTTGTGCACGCACGTCGGGCCTAAATCACCGCTGTGATTGGTCTGAACACCATGGGGCGGTATATACTGGATCTGTTCATTAACATGAGGTGATTTCCCCTTTTCATAGTTATCTTTTACCAGCCCCACTGTAACATTATCTGGTAAATCCCTTCAGGCAAATGGCCATAACCACAGGTGACCAGCCACTCACTCTGGACACACATACAATTATGTAGGCCTACACTGTATGTGGATATAGATTCCCTCAATTCAGGATTCATGTTGTTCATGAACCATTTTCAACGATTCAACAAAATAATAGATGGTTTCATTACTTGATAAAAACAAATGCTACATTGGCTGTTAATTTTGTGACAAGCTGCGTGTGCAGTAAGATATAGGCATGCCCAACAAGTAGTTAAGCGATACTCCTTGATCTTCCTTGGTGGTGTTGGGCATTCATCTGGTAATACCACCCCACCCCACCCAATTACCAGCTTGAGATAAGCCCCAAAAAAAAAAATAATAAGTCGGTCTCTGGTCAGCGCGCGCGTCGATTTTAATCATGCGCGTCGATCTTTTTTTTTTCCAAAACGTTCCGCGGTAGCTCCAACTGCGCCCTCGATTTCCGCACCTCCTCAACTATTTTTTACCAAAGAGCACCAAGGAATGTGAAATTGCACCAAGGCAAATTATCGAAAGCACCAAGGCAAAGTATGGAGGACACCAATGTACATGAGGACACAAAAAAAGCAAAATAGTACCTACCTTGTCTGTACAATCCAAGCTTGAAGAAAAAAAAAAAAAGCCGCGTGGCCGCGTCAATTCCGGAACTTTGGTCTGACCAGAGACCGAATATATTTTTTTGGCCTAAGAGAGGGCAGTAAGCCCGATACAAAACTCTGAATATAACAGACCAACTCGGGTTTTTTGGGGGGTAAAAGTGGATTCACGGCATGACCATGATATCTAATGAATGATTCAGAGAAATGATCCAAACTCGTAGTCTGAAAACTCTTCGACTATCATACTACTACTAGATGATGGATGCATGAGACTGGAAAATAGGCCTACATCTTCAGGTTTATTCACTGAGCTCCTAAAAGCCCTGTTGCAAACATTACATCACACTGGAATTGCTTACACATTTTGTCCCTCTTTTAAAATTTACACTATTTACAAGAGAGTTGAGAGTTAAAATGTGTTGCTTGGAATATAAAAAGGTTGGCCTGGGTACAGTTTTCTGTCCTTTTCCAATGTTTGGATCACTAGAGACAAAAAGGCACTGTAAATTGACGACTTTCACTTGTTACTTATTTCATTCATCCCAAAACGGATATTCCAAATTCTCGTACTCCCCCTGTTTCCTACCCCACAGTGGTGGTAATCGTCGACCTCTCATGACGAGACGCACACGCGGCTCCGTGTGCTGATGTGTGACATTGTACGGACAGTTTGCAAGATGAGCGGTCATACGGTTTGGGTCGGTCGAGCACCACTTACGGACTGGGCTGACTGCTGTGCTAAACTGCCAAACCTAAGGAGGAACAAAATTCCATAAGAAAAATTAAAATGATCATTGACATGCAGCAAATTGCAACTTCCCGCTTCTTGTGTGGGGGCAATGCCAACGTTATGAAGGAAGTGTTATGCTCGAGACTACCTATTCATAGAAACGATCTTCCGGTAAAACGGGGTCCATCCGATGTTCCCAAGTCCCTATGTTCCACGGGTGCATACTTATGTTCCCCAATAACTATATGTTCCCCAAATACCAATGTTCCTTAACCCTAACCCTAACCCTAACCCTAGCCCAAATCCAAGGATTTGGGGGAACATCGGTATTGGGGAACATCGGGTAGACCCCTATTCCAGAGTCATATAATTATGTTCCCCAGTCCCGATGTTAGGGTAAGGTTAGGTTTAGGGTTAGGGGAACAAAGGGACTGGAAAACATTTATGGCTAGGGGACCAAAGGTACATACCCCATTATTTGGTCTCGCCGGGGAACATTGGTACGCACCCAAGTTATCTAGTAACATTGGTCAAGAAGGCAGATGAGTTTTAACGGGCGTTACTATGTAAGATTTGAAAAACACATTTTCCAGGTTGGATATCTGAATTTCCCCTACGATGCTGAGATATGCCATTATCCAGATTCGGATTTCAGAGAGTCTCAAAGGCATAGAACCCGTGCGTGAACGGCAAAACAATCGGGCAACGTTGCTGCTCGACTATTTTGATGAAGTTCGTTTGCAAAAGTTCTGTGGCTCTAACTACCAAATAAATAAAATATTGGGCCGGGGTGACGAACACCCCACAACCCCTGTTTACCAACCCCTGTTAAATTTGCACATGTGACTGTTCTTGACGAATGAAATCACAATATACATACCTCCTTAGCGACTCTCCATCTTCCGTCCATCTTTTCCCACTGCGGCACCACCATCCCCCGCTCTTCCAGGACGCTACAGCATACAAGACGCAGGCGCCTGGACGCCTGCGCCAGGAAATTCAGGGTGAAGGGGTCCAGGAACCAGGTGAGGTATCGCAGGAGCTCTACGGGAAGCAGGCTGAGGTAGTCCGGCTCCCAAGAGAGAGACCGGTGGACTCTGGGTCGGGCAGTGGAGCGGCGGTCCGTTTCACCCGATGGCGAGTTGTCTTTTGGTAGAGCTGACGTCTGTCCCTTAGAATCTTTGGTTGATGCTGACATCTTTTCAATCTGAGCTGTATCCTTGAAGATATCCTCCACCTGTTTTGTTGGGGCGAAATGATAAATCTTGATAACGGTAATGGTAATAATACTAACAACCACAATAGGGCGACATACACTTACATGGCAGGATTTTAGATTGGACGAATTTGGGTCCCACTTCAGCTTCGTTTATGATGATGTCCGCACGGGGCTCCATGGCTGGCTAGTTCAGCAATGCCCTCTAGCGACCCATTATGTGTTGCCCTAATGAGGTCGCCCTATTAGAGCAAATTTAATAACAAACTGTCGTCCTATTAGACCTGTTAGTAATATAAAACCACACATAGGCCTAATATAAGGTTTATGATGCGCTTTCGCTTGCAAAACAGAGTTGTAAGGAGGCACTGATTTTTTGTGACTCGAGTCTAGTCAAGTCATTTAAAAAGAGGTGACTCGAGTCGACTCGAGTCAGGTCAAGAAGGTTGAGTCGAGCCCAGTCGAGTCGAGTCACATTGTGTAGTCGAGTTGAGTCGAGATCCAGTCAAGTATTTTTCCTTCCTCGAGTCGAGTCGAGTCATTCTGATGAGGGACTCGAGTCAAGTCATTTGCTCGTAGTGACCCCAGTCGAATTGAGTCAATTGCCTTTAGGGATTCGACTCGAGTAGAGTCACCAAAAATTGTGAGTCAAGTCAGACTCGAGTCGAGTCATTGAATCGAGCCATAACAGGCTGTTGCAAACATTCCAACTCAAAGGTAGCTTAGTTGACTTTAGACTCATGTCGTGACCTCTATCTGTGTCATCATATCATTTTGCGATCACAACTAGACAAGCCTGGTACAGCTGGCCCCAGAACACACAAACTTCTATTCAGTTGATTCAGAATGGCTATAAAGAAAAGTGATTAAGCAAAGCTGTAGCTTGGAAATAAAAAATATCCACTTTTGACTTCTGATTGAGACTCGAATCTTCCCTTCACAAATTATCTTTCGTTAGTAAAGTTACAGTCGGGACAAGAAAGAAGCAGCGCATGTGATGTAAATACTACATAATGGACGGGCAAGCATCATAAGGTGATAGTCAGGAAAGGAGATGGACAGCCAGCCGGGGAGCCAGCCAGCCAGCTAGCCAGCCAGCCGGGGAGCCAGCCAGCCAGCCAGCCAGCAAGGTACAAAGAACTGTATGCTGGCCTCTCATACCAGCCAAAAACCGTATGATTACACCCCTTACCCGTTTGAATGTGAAACTCTCCAGTGGTTGGTTGTAAACAACTCTGTTGTATTCCTGGTTGGGGTAGCGCTGATGCTGCGAGTACGTGCAACCATAGATCGCTAGAGGGCAGCGCTGAACTAGCCAGCCATGGAGACCCGTGTGGACCTCATCGTGAACGAACTTGAAGTGGGACCCAAATTCGTCCAATCTAAAATCCTGCGAAAGACAAATATACCAACAAGGTTTTCTTGGTCCAGCATGCAATGTTGGTGTTGCGGCCTCGTGGTTAAGAGCATTGATGGATTCATGGTCTGCGGGTCCACTTGGCTCCGCTTGCCATGGACTGTCTGCGTTGTTGGGGAACATGCAAAAAAGTGGCATATGTGGGATGCTGTGGTCCAATGGTTACGGTGCTCGACTCGTGTGCCGTGGTAAATGGGTTCAAATCCTGACCGTAGGAACATATGATGCTTGTGTTCTTGAGCAAGGCACTTTACCATTATTGCTTTGTCCTTCGGATGGGACGTGAAGCCGTAGGTCCCGTGTGTTGTGTAATGCACGTTAAAAAACCCAGTAACACTTATCGCTAAGAGAAGAGGTTTGCCCCGGTGTTTCTGGCAGAGGCTGCAATATAGGCCGCAGCACCTTGAATACCCTTATAAGGTGCTACATATTAAACAGGTCTCTTATTTCTCATAAACTTCATTTACCTGTCTTAAACAATAGACATGATTTTCCAGCACGTTGAGTACCTAATTGTCGTGGTTGATACGTGCGCTACATAAGACCCCGGTATTATTCAGCTATTATATGACAAACAATAAACCTCTCAACTTATACGAATGAAAACAACCTAACAGCTTTTTTCGTTAGGTTCTCAAGACATCGACACAATATTTTTGGCATCTTCTTTAGATATCTCACGTGTTTGTTAAAATGCCATTCGAATATTCGGTGGTTGAACGAATATTGGGATACTCGGCACATATAATCAACAAAACCCAGTTGACGGTTACGACAAAATACTGTGTCTGTTAGAAGCAAGCCCAAGTCAAAATTAGAGCTACCAACCTGCGCACAGCGGAACATGAGCGTGCAATTGGCTTTTTCTGTAGAGGGCGAACGTGCGCGAACATCCAGGTCCAGGGATCCTGGCACAGTTGAGGTGCTTGATGAGGTGGAGGCTGGTACGGAGTCTACGCCACATCCCTGCACCTCTCGGGATGAATCGCCTGGAGTCATCTTTAAGAGATGTGTAAATACTGTGATACAATGGCAGACAAACTTGTTTACCTCACACATTATTTACATTATGATAAGAGTTGATTAAGGGTGCGCATTTACGGGTAGTACCGTCGACTTCGCCACTCACACTGGTCTTTTCTCGTGCCAGCATCCGGGGCGCCACACGTCCGGGTATAGCCACGCGGGCCTTGACTAAAGTCCCCCATTGAATAAAGAAAAAAACACGGATACCCGGGTGTCCGTTAAAGAAACCCAACCCCCAAAATCAGATCTCGGAAGTTGATGTTCAAATTGTTCATAAAGGTTTGTACGATACAACTACTGTATACGGTGCGTCAATACAGCAAGATACAAGTGTGTACACTATACAGTGAGCTTTAGGGGCCTACAACTTTACGGTGTAAACTGCACCTTTTGTGAGCGCCACCAAGTTGACCACACCTTGGTCTTAATTATTTACATTAAACTTACCTTTCTCATCATGACAATCTTCAAATCACTTCTGAGTGGTTGCCTACCAACGAACAAGGCTGGTACTAGGTCGGTTCTCTCTTCTTTTATCTCCTCACCTATCCCGTCATGCAACTTGCTTCCTTCTGTTGGTTCTGATTGATGGAGATCGGATTCTGTGGCTTTAGGGTGCCATCTCTTCTTGTAGCAAGGTACACTGTCCTTACTGTGCCAATATGAAGCACAATCCGATTTTTTTGTTTGAAAGATGTAGTCAAGCTCGATTAATTTATCTTCTAAGCTTTGACCCTTAGACGCACTATCAGGCAAGGGTACGGCAGGATATATTTCGTCACTACTTTTTGCTAGTATCTCCCGCGCCTCCACTGATGCCTGGACGGATTCGGAGAGCATGCGTTGGTCCCGCAGAGTGAGTGCGATGTCGAGGTCTTCCCGGTCGGATTTTGTCAGAAGACGGAGAGGTCTGTCGCTCAGATTCTCCCGCGCATTCGGGCAGACCCGGAGCCGGCTCCACTCCATCTTACATTGCACAACGCTGGCCGGGCACCGGCCAAGATGGCTGCGCATCTGTGATCTCCGCACGCGGGTCGGGCAGCCGTAGCCCGCGTTGGGGCAGGCGACGGGCTGATTCCGGCACAGCGCGAGGTGGTCATGTTGCTTGCAGGCGTGGAACCTGGCCCCGCATTCCAGCTCGCAGTGCACCATCCTGCACGCCGTCAGATCCGTACAGCACCTAATGTTATAGCAGGACCTGCAGTGGCTGTGTTGCTCCATTTTTCTGAAATGAGAGAAGATCCAAAAATGTCTCTAGTCATTATAGGATAGTTAAATAAATGCATTTTGAAAACAAAACAGAACGTAATTCAAAGCATCCACTGCTTTAATATGATCACAAGTACACGAATAGTTATGCAAATATAGGCCTATATATTAAATATACATATATATACAGTTGTACAAAAACAGAATTCGAAATTAACGTTTCTAATTTTGCTTAATACTCATTCCAGTGTCTTGTTTTGTGGTCACAGACGATGGCAAGCCTGGCGTTACAAGTTAGTACACCCATACATGATGGTACAACAACTTGAACAAGCTTTGGGGCATGTGCTCAATTTGAAACGCAAAAGAATGATTCAGAAAATATGCTAAAAGTGTAGGCCGACTTCATAAACTTACCAAATTAACGATCCTTACCTAAATTCTAACCGCGTTAATTCCAAAGTTGCCTCGGCCTATTCGTTTTGATGTTTACTTCTCGCCGCTTCTTCATGCATAGATGCACGCTCGCCCAATGCATAATGTCAGTATGCGCTGCAAGGCCGACAGTGCCAGCAAATTTACAAGTTCAAAGTGCGGCCACCAAAATGGACCTTGGCCTTTGATAAAAAATGCTAGTCTTTGTTCAAGACGACGCTGGTGCGACGGTGCGCGAACTTGGGCCTGAGGGGAGGGTCTGTTGGGGGTAGGGGGAAGGGTCGGGTGGGGGGGGGGGGGGCGTAGTAAATCGCCTCAGGCCCCGGGGCGCTGCGGGCGCGCAATGCTTTTTCTGCACGAAATATTAGTCACTGACAATAACGCGCATGCGTCGGGTAATTAACAGAATGGTTCCCTTCATTTATCACAATTATAGATAGAACATTCACTTTGGGAGAAAAAAAAACGGGGACAAAAAATAATTCATCAGGGTTCGATCCAACGGCTCACTGGCACATTGCATACAAGCAACTACGTCACAATGGCACTCCGACTATATCCACTGAAATTTAAGCCAAAAGTCCTCATGATTTGTGACTATATCAATCCCGTGATAGTTTTCACGCAAGTGCATAGTCCTATGGTAATTTCCTTTACTCAGTTGCAGAAGAAAAAAATGCCTTTCTTAAATACAATCAAAATGAAGTTTCGTTCGATCAAGATGACAACCATTATTAATGGCGTAATTTGCAATTGACGTAAGAAACGCCATATACAACATTCAATGATACGGGAACAAATAACGATGTGATGCATTATGGCTCACACCATGCTTTCAATGGGGGCGCTGTTCAAATCCCACGATTATTAGATCTATTATAAAGAACAGTGTACAAAATACCCCCTAACCAAGCTGCTTCTGTCCTGTCCGTTATTTGTGCACAGTTGGACGTCACGGTACCAGTTTATTTTTTGGGTGTCGGACAGATAGAGGGCGGGGGGAGGTTTGCATTATTTTTAAAGCAATATGCTCAATCATTTTGACAGAGCTGGCGGGGGCCGGGTGGGGGTGGTGTGACCCCCGAACACTCTGGATCCGCGCCACTCTTGTACAGTGCTAGTGTGAATTCGATAGTAGTATTCCGGCGCAACGTCAGATCATACGTCGTGTCAAAAAAAGTCTTTCTTATGACCCTCAATAACTTTGTTGTTTACGAATATAATTAAAAAAAAAAAAAAAATCAAAAATTTCTGTGAGCTTTCAAATGAGACATATCACGAAAACAAAAACTCGGTCCAAGTCAATTCAAGCAATCAATTAATTAATTTCAATTTTGCAATTAAGTACAGGACGCTCCTTATTCGTTAATTCTGAATATTGCGCGAAATTTTTAAGTACAGGGCGCCATTTAAAACCAACTTTTAAAACTGTGTAAAGGCCTGTAAAAGCAAACCAGCACATTTATTTGTTGGGGACTATTCAAAAGACTGTCAAAATTTTTAAATTTGAATTTTTTGTCCTAATTGTGGGTGGGTGGGTCAAGGTAAATAATTGAAAATCAAAATTCACTTTTCATAAAAAAGCAAGAAAAAACAAAAAAATCTAGATAGTTTGACTTGCCTATGTACCAGCGTTCTTTGCTTGCATTTGTTTTCCAACTTTGTTTCCAATACAAACCGACAGTACAGACGGGCCTGTGTGTACATGTACTGTGTGTACCTGAGTATTTACACACCGGCAATCGTGGACCGGGAAAAAAAGTAAGGACACAATTCATGCAAACAAAACGTCCACAATTGACCGTTAGTCCTCGATTGAAATGTGTGTACAAAACCAAGGGGGTCCACGACTGCCAGTGTTTACGAATGTATGTGCATGCAAGCGCATGTACATGTATTTGGATTTTTGATACTGCATAACAAATCACATTTTTCACATCGAATATAGGGGTGGATAGGTGGGTCAAAACAATTTGGAAAAAACAAATCAAAATTTAAAGACATTGAGAATTTTGAATGGCCCCCTACTGGATGTTATAGTCCTTTAAAAGGGAATGTACATGTACATCCAGCTTTTGCTGTAAGTTTCAGAAATGAACTATTTTGGGGGTTAGTATAATAGATCCAAATATTGTTACGATGGTTGAAGACCAAGAAAAACACGAATGTTCAAGTATTCTGGTTCCTTGACTCCACTAAAGATGACATAGATAAAAAAAAAATGCCGCCGGAAAATTGTTAGGTAAAGGAACCAGTGAAAAAAAAACACAACTTAAATTTACCTCTACTACACTTGAAATATTAAAGGGTTGTCCTGGGTACAATTTTCCGGCCATTTACAATGTTTGGATCACTAGAGACAAAAGGGCACTGTAAATTAACGACTCCATTCATGGCTCCACTCATGACTTATTTTCAGTCATCATTCCAACACGGATATTCCAAACCCTCATACGTCCAATGTTTCGACGCGGGTGGCAATTGTGGATCTCTCATCATGATGCGACGCACACGCGGCCCCGTGTACGGATGTGTGACATTGTACGGACAGTTCGCGAGATGAGCGGCCATACGGTTTGGCTCGGTCGAGCACCACTTACGGACTGGGCTGACTGCTGTGCTGAACTTCCAGACCTAAAGAGAAACAAAATTCCATAAGAAAATATCAACATGACCACTAACATGCAGCAAAATGCAACCTCCCGCTTCTTGTGTGGGGGCAATGCCAACGTTATGAAGGACTGAGTGTTATGCTCGTTACTACTGATTCATAGAGGTCTACCGGTAAAACGGTGTCCACCCGATGTTCCCAAATCCCTCTGTCCCACGGGTGTACACTTAAGTTCCCCAATACCGATGTTTCCCAAACCTAACTCTAGCCCTAATCTAAAGGATTTCGGGGAACATCGGTATCGGGAAACATCGGGTAGACCCCTGTTCCAGAGTCCCAATAATTATGTTCCGCATTCCCGATATTAGGGTTAGGTTAGGGTTAGTTTAGGGGAACATAGGGACTGAAAAACATGGCTAGGGACCACAGGTACCCAGCCCATTATTTGGTCTCGCCGAGGAACATTGGTACTCACCAAGCAGACGAGGTTTAACGGGTGTTACTAGATAATAGACATGTAAGATTTGAAAAACACATTTTCCAGGTTGGATATCTGAATTTCCCCTACGATGCTGAGATATGCCATTATCCAGATTCGGATTTCAGAGAGTCTCAAAGGCATAGAACCCGTGCGTGAACGGCAAAACAATCGGGCAACGTTGCTGCTCGACTGTTTTGATGAAGTTCGTTTGCAAAAGTTCTGTGGCTCTAACTACCAAATAAATAAAATATTGGGCCAGGAGGTGACGAACACCCCACAACCCCTGTTTACCAACCCCCTGTTAAATTTGAACATGTGACTGTTCTTGACGAATGAAATCACAATATACATACCTCCTTAGCGACTCTCCATCTTCCGTCCATCTTTTCCCACTGCGGCACCACCATCCCCCGCTCTTCCAGGACGCTACAGCATACAAGACGCAGGCACCTGGACGCCTGCGCCAGGAAATTCAGGGTGAAGGGGTCCAGGAACCAGGTGAGGTATCGCAGGAGCTCTACGGGAAGCAGGCTGAGGTAGTCCGGCTCCCAAGAGAGAGATCGGTGGACTCTGGGTCGGGCAGTGAAGCAGCGGTCCGTTTCACCCGATGGCGAGTTGCCTTTTGGTAGAGCTGCTGAAGTCTGTCCCGTGTAATCGTTGGTTGATGCTGGCATCTCTTCAATCTGAGCTGTATCCTTGGAGATATCCTCCACCTTTTGGTGGGGTGAAATGATAAATCTCGATAACGGTAATGATAGTAAAATTAACAACCACAATAGTACGACACTTACATGGCAGGATTTTAGATTGGAAGAATTTAGGTCTCACTTTAAGTTCGTTTATGATGATGTCCACACGGGCCTCGATGGTTGGCTAGTTCAGCGATGCCCTCTAGCGACCCATATAAAAATGGTTAAGTACATTGTTTTAATGCGAAATATTGAAAAAAATCTAAATCGAAAAAAATTGTAATTTTGGACATATGTGGCTCTTCGTGAAAACGGTGACGAATATGTGTTGCCTTAATGAGGTCGCCCTATCAGAGCAAATTTAATAACAAACTGTCGTCTACTATTAGACCTGTTAGTAATATAAAACCACACATAGGCCTAATATAAAGTGTATGATGCGCTTTCGCTTGCAGAACAGAGTTGTAACGAGACACTGATTTTCTTGTGACGCGAGTCTAGTCAAGTCATTTAAAAGAAGTGACTCGAGTCAGTCGAATCTGGTCAGGAAGGTCAAATCGAGCCCAGTCGAGTCGAGTCACAGTGTGTAGTCGAGTTGAGTCGAGATCGAGTCAAGTATTTTCCTTCCTCGAGTCGAGTCGAGTCATTCTGATGAGGGACTCGAGTCGAGTCATTTGCTCGCAGTGACCCGAGTCGAGTCGAGTCAATTGCCCTTAGGGACTCGACTCGAGTAGAGTCACCAAAAATTGTGACTCGAGTCGGACTCGAGTCGAGTCATTGAATCGAGCTATAACAACTCTGTTGGAAACATTCCAACTCAGAGGTAGCTTATTTGGCTATAAAAAATTAATTAAGCAAAGCTGGCCTCTCATACCAGCCAAAAACCGTATGATTACACCCCTTACCCGTTTGAATGTGAAACTCTCCAGCGGTTGGTTGTAAACAACTCTGTTGCACTCCTGGTTGGGGTAGTGCTGATGTTGCGAGTACGTGCAACCATAGATCGCTAGAGGGCAGCGCTGAACTAGCCAGCCATCGAGACCCATGTGGACCTCATCGTGAACGAACTTGTAGTGGGACCCAAATTCGTCCAATCTAAAATCCTGCCAAAGACAAATATACCAACAAGGTTTTCTTGGTCCAGCATGCGATGTTGGTGTTGTGGCCTCTTGGTTAATAAGGGTAATGGTGGATTCATGGTCTGCGGGTAAAGATGCAGGTTGTGGATTCGACTCCAGCCTGGGGTCATATGGTGCGTGTGCCCTTGGGCAAGGCACTTAGTCACTCATTGCTTCTCTCCACCCAGGAGTAAATGGGTACCTGTGAGGGCAGAGATGGTTATTGTGATTGTTTTTAGCTGCTTTGCGCCGAAATGGCGGCATCGAGCTGTATACTCCCCAGGGAGTTGAGATGGTGTTAAGAATGTTTCATGGGCACAATGAGCAGGGATGTAGCGCATTGAGTGGTGGTTACGTGCGTTTGATACATTGTCACTATTTCTTAATGTACAGGTCCCTGATAAGTGCAGTCCAATCAGCACGTGTGAGAGGATGCTACGCATGAACCAGATGAATGAAACCCAGTCTTAGGATTGAACTAATTGGTACCGGGATCCGATAAAATCCCAATCATGCGTTCTATGATGCGTGCTATGCCTGCACATCAGGCACACCAGGAACACTTGGCTCCCAATGCAAACGTTCCCAAAACTGGATTTGATTCATCATGTTGGTAGTGATCTCAATGGCTGTCTGCGTGTTTGGGGAATATGCAAAAAAAGTGGCATAATTATGTGGGGTGCTGTGGTCCAATGGTGTTCGACCCTAATCCTGACCGTTGGAACATATGATGCTTGTGTTCTTGAGCAAGGCACTTTACCATTATTGCTTTGTCCTTCGGATGGGACGTGAAGCCGTAGGTCCCGTGTGTTGTGTAATGCACGTTAAATAACCCAGTAACACTTATCGCTAAGAGAAGAGGTTTGCCCCGGTGTTTCTGGCAGTGGCTGCAATATAGGCCGCAGCACCTTGTATACCCTTATAAGGTGCTACATATTAAACGGGTCTCTTATTTCTCATAAACTTCATTTACCTGTCTTTAACAATAGACAGGATTTTCCAGCACGTTGAGTACCTAATTGTCGTGGTTGATACGTGCGCTACATAAGACCCCGGTATTATTCAGCTATTACATGACAAACAATAAACTTCTCAACTTATACGAATGAAAACAACCTAACAGTTTTTTTCATCAGGTTCTCAAGACATCGACACAATATTTTTGTCATCTTCTTTAGATATCTCACGTGTTTGTTAAAATGCAATTCGAATATTCTGTGGTTGAACGAATATTGGGATACTCGGCACATATAATCAACAAAACCCAGTTGACGGTTACGACAAAATACTGTGTCTGTTAGAAGCAAGCCCAAGTCAAAAAAATGGAGCTACCAACCTGCGCACAGCAGAACATGAACATGCACTTCGGTTTTTCTTTAAGGGAAGAGGTCGAATGTGCGCGAAGATCTAGGTCCAGGGATCCTGGCACAGTTGAGGCGCTTGATGAGGTGGCGGCTGGTACGTAGTCTTCGCCACATCCCTCCTCCCGGGATGAATCGCCCGGAGTCACCTTTAAGAGATGTGCAAATAATGTGACACAATGGCATACGACTTTTTTACCTCACACATTATTTACATTATGATGAGAGTTGATTAAGGGTGCGCATTTACGGGTAGTTCCCACGACTTTGCCACTCGCACTGATCTTTTTTCGTGCCAGCATCCGGGGCGCCACACGTCCGGGTATAGCCACGCGGGCCTTGACTAAAGGCCAGAGTAGTACAAACAGGACCTGGGTCCCCCATTATAAAACCCAAAACACGGTACAGTCTAGATGCAGGCCAGTAAATTGATGTTCAGATCTTCCGTAAAGTTTGTACGATACAACTACTTCGGTGCGTCAAGATACAACTGTGTTCACTGTACAGTGAACTTTAGGGGCCTGCAGCTTTACGGTGTAAACTGCACCTTTTGTGAACGCCACAAAGTTGACCACAGCTTACGGTCTTACCTATTTACATGTAACTTACCTTTCTCATCATGACAATCTTCAAATCCTTTCTGTGTGGTTGCCTACCAACGAACAAGGCTGGTACTAGGTCGGTTCTCTCATGTTTTATCTCCTCACCTATCCCGTCTTGCAACTCGCTTCCTTCTGTTGGCTCTGATTGATGGAGATGGGATTCTGTGGCTTTAGGGCGCCGTCTCTTCACGTAGCAAGATCCACAATCCACTCTCTGCCAATATGAAAGACAATTCTTTTCTTCTGTTTGAAAGATGCAGTCAAGCTCGATTAATTTATCTTTTAAGCTTCGACCCTTAGACGCACTATCAGGCAAGGGTACGGCAGGATATATATCGTTAGTACTGTTTGCTAGTCTCTCCCGCGCCTCCACTGATGCCCAAACGGACTCGGAGAGCATGCGTTGGTCCCGCAGAGTGAGTGCGATGTCGAGGTCTTCCCGGTCGGATTTTGTCAGAAGACGGAGCGGTCTGTCGCTCAGATTCTCCCGCGCATTCGTGCAGACTCGGAGCCGGCTCCACTCCATCTTACATTGCACAACGCTGGCCGGGCACCGGCCAAGATGGCTGCGCATCTGTGATCTCCGCACGCGGGTCGGGCAGCCGTAGCCCGCGTTGGGGCAGGCGACGGGCTGATTCCGGCACAGCGCGAGGTGGTCGTGTTGCTTGCAGGCGTGGAACCTGGCCCCGCATTCCAGCTCGCAGTGCACAATCCTGCACGCCGTCAGATCCGTACAGCACCTAATGTTATAGCAGGACCTGCAGTGGCTGTGTTGCTCCATTTTTCTGAAATGAGAGAAGATCCAAAAATGTCTCTAGTCATTATAGGATAGTTAAATAAATGCATTTTGAAAACAAAACAGAACGTAATTCAAAGCATCCACTGCTTTAATATGATCACAAGTACACGAATAGTTATGCAAATATAGGCCTATATATTAAATATACATATATATACAGTTGTACAAAAACAGAATTCGAAATTAACGTTTCTAATTTTGCTTAATACTCATTCCAGTGTCTTGTTTTGTGGTCACAGACAATGGCAAGCCTGGCGTTACAAGTTAGTACACCCATACATGATGGTACAACAACTTGAACAAGCTTTGGAGCATGTGCTCAATTTGAAACGCAAAAGAATGATTCAGAAAATACGCTAAAAGTGTAGGCCGACTTCATAAACTTACCAAATTAACGATCCTTACCTAAATTCTAACCGCGTTAATTCCAAAGTTGCCTCGGCCTATTCGTTTTGATGTTTACTTCTCGCCGCTTCTTCATGCATAGATGCACGCTCGCCCAATGCATAATGTCAGTATGCGCTGCAAGGCCGACAGTGCCAGCAAATTTACAAGTTCAAAGTGCGGCCACCAAAATGGACCTTGGTCTTTGATAAAAAAATGCTAGTCTTTGTTCAAGACGACGCTGGTGCGACGGTGCGCGAACTTGGGCCTGAGGGGAGGGTCTGTTGGGGGTAGGGGGAAGGGTCGGGTGGGGGGGGGGGGGGGCGTAGTAAATCGCCTCAGGCCCCGGGGCGCTGCGGGCGCGCAATGCTTTTTCTGCACGAAATATTAGTCACTGACAATAACGCGCATGCGTCGGGTAATTAACAGAATGGTTCCCTTCATTTATCACAATTATAGATAGAACATTCACTTTGGGAGAAAAAAAAACGGGGACAAAAAATAATTCATCAGGGTTCGATCCAACGGCTCACTGGCACATTGCATACAAGCAACTGCGTCACAATGGCACTCCGACTATATCCACTGAAATTTAAGCCAAAAGTCCTCATGATTTGTGACTATATCAATCCCGTGATAGTTTTCACGCATGTGCATAGTCCTATGGTAATTTCCTTTACTCAGTTGCAGAAGAAAAAAATGCCTTTCTTAAATACAATCAAAATGAAGTTTCGTTCGATCAAGATGACAACCATTATTAATGGCGTAATTTGCAATTGACGTAAGAAACGCCATATACAACATTCAACGATACGGGAACAAATAACGATGTGATGCATTATGGCTCACACCATGCTTTCAATGGGGGCGCTGTTCAAATCCCACGATTATTAGATCTATTATAAAGAACAGTGTACAAAATACCCCCTAACCAAGCTGCTTCTGTCCTGTCCGTAATTTGTGCACAGTTGGACGTCACGGTACCAGTTTATTTTTTGGGTGTCGGACAGATAGAGGGCGGGGGGAGGTTTGCATTATTTTTAAAGCAATATGCTCAATCATTTTGACAGAGCTGGCGGGGGCCGGGTGGGGGTGGTGTGACCCCCGAACACTCTGGATCCGCGCCACTCTTGTACAGTGCTAGTGTGAATTCGATAGTAGTATTCCGGCGCAACGTCAGATCATACGTCGTGTCAAAAAAAGTCTTTCTTATGACCCTCAATAACTTTGTTGTTTACGAATATAATTAAACAACAAAAAAAAAATCAAAAATTTCTGTGAGCTTTCAAATGAGACATATCACGAAAACAAAAACTCGGTCCAAGTCAATTCAAGCAATCAATTAATTAATTTCAATTTTGCAATTAAGTACAGGACGCTCCTTATTCGTTAATTCTGAATATTGCGCGAAATTTTAGAAGTACAGGGCGCCATTTAAAACCAACTTTTAAAACTGTGTAAAGGCCTGTAAAAGCAAACCAGCACATTTATTTGTTGGGGACTATTCAAAAGACTGTCAAAATTTTTAAATTTGAATTGTTTGTCCTAATTGTGGGTGGGTGGGTCAGGGTAAATAATTGAAAATCAAAATTCACTTTTCATAAAAAAGCAAGAAAAAACAAAAATCTAGATATTTTGACTTGCCTATGCACCAGCGTTCTTTGCTTGCATTTGTTTTCCAACTTTGTTTCCAATACAAACCGACAGTACAGACGGGCCTGGGTGTACATGTACTGTGTTTACATGAGTATTTACACACCGGCAATCGTGGACCGGGAAAAAAAGTAAGGACACAATTCATGCAAACAAAACGTCCACAATTGACCGTTAGT